CGCATATTGGTGGACCAGTAGTGGTTATGTGGTGTTGGACATGGTGTAATTTGCATTCATCTTGGTAATCAACTAGTGTGATGCATTCGTATTTTGAAATGACATCGGTGAAAACTTTGTTCGTTGGTTTTATCATTCCAGCACTGTGAATTGTACCGTTCGCCTGTAAACGCGTAATATTGTCGACCAGTTTCTTTTCATTTATGTCCCCACCCTTGCTCCAACTCATGTCCTTCTGGCCCGACAATATCGAAGCCTGGTTCTGTTACGCAGAAGCCAACATCCACGAGCACAGCGTGAGCGACACACGTGCACAATTCCTCGCAGTAGTCAAGGCACTACCGCGGGAATTCAACAGGTACGTAACACCTTGTATGTTTACTAGTGATGTTTCAGATCCTTACGAAACAATTAAACGACCTATCCTTAAACGCGGAGGTCTAACCGGTCGACAAGGGTTAAACCGACTCCTTAATAACATCGAACTGCAACACATTTCTGCGACAGACATGTTGCAAAGAACGAGAGAGGTTATCGGTCAAATAACTTTCGATGATGGCCTATTCAAACAACTTTTCTTATCCAAACTTCCTCAACAAATGCAAGCTGTGCTGGTCTCGTTTCAAAACAACGCCGTAGACGAGCTGGCTGCATCTGCCGGTCGCATCTTAGAAATCACCAAATCTTCTAACGTCGAGGTTTTTTCAGTCAAAGAAAAGCCTCAAGCGACCCCGAGTGACATTACGGAACTATGTCAAACACTGACACGTTATCTGCGATTTTGTAATGACCGTAAACGGCCACACACCCCGAGAAGCATTTCACGTAGGCGATCTGTCTCTAGACCACGAGAGACAGATAACCTGACTGTTGCCGGTATCATAGCCAGTATGGAAAGTCTTCCAGAAGTTGCAGAAAACCGTGCAATTTTTCAAAGTCAAAATCAACCGACGCGAAAAACAATTCGGGAAACTTCCAAGTCGGCACGCGTTAACGGCAAAAGTAGCCGGCAAACATAGCCGTCTGTTATACGTCACAGATAAGACAACGAGAGTTCGCTACCTCGTCGACACTGGCGCAGAAGTTAGCGTTCTCCCAGCGAATTCTGACGACCGGCTTTACGAATCGGCTTTAAACTTACAGGCGGCAAACGGGAAACCTGTCGCTACGTATGGCAAAAGGTACGTTTACCTGAACGTAGGTTTGGTATGGACCTTCTACAACACCGTAATCTAATCATCGATACGCGCAAACGGAGGCTAGTATACCAAACACTAATTTATCCGTTTGAGTAACTTCTTTTTCTGGTTGCAGATTATCCCCAGTCACAATTAAGCATAAGATAGACCGACTTTATCAACCACTACTCGATAAGTATCCTGAGATTCATCAGACGCAACCGAAACTACCGTGTGTAACCAGCAACGTTACACATCACATCACGACTACAGGACCACCTGTATTCTCTAAAGCACGACGACTAGCCCCTGAAAGGCTAAGGTTGGCGAAAACCGAATTCGATCACATGATAGACTTCGGAATCATACGGCCATCAAATAGCCCAGATGTATCTCCTTTTCACATGGTCCCCAAAAAGGACAGCAGCGATTGGCGTCCAACTGGTGACTATCGGCGAGTGAATGCAAAAACCATTCCCGATCGTCACTTGCTGCCTCACATTCACGATTCGACAGCTGCCTTGAATGGTACAACTATCTTTTCGAAAATCGACTTAAGTAAAGCGCATAACCAAATCTTTATGGCCACTGACGATATTCTGAAAAGAGCTATCATAACTCCCTTCAGACTACAAATTTTTGTGAATGCCCTTCGGTCTAAGAAACGCTGCACAAACTTTCCAAAGGTTCATAGATGACATTTTTCGAGGCCTCAACTTCGTACATACGTATGTCGATGACCGTCTTATAGCAAGTCCGGACAGAGAATCGCATCTCCAGCATCTGGATCTTGTTTTCGATCGACTACGAAAACATGGCATTACCGTAAACACTCAGAAATGCCAAATCGGAACAGACTCTTTAGACTTCCTAGGACACTATAGATGCGCAAGGCGTTCGACCCCTTACAACCAAAGTGGTGGCCATTCTGGGTTACCCAAAACCGGTCACCATCAAGCAATTACGCACATTTAAAGGCCTGGTAAGTTTTTACAGACGGTTCGTACCGAAATGCGCGTCACTTATGAAACCGCTAACGGATCAACGTCGTGGAGATGCGCAATCCAGCAATCTGGACAACACCGCGCGAAAAGCGTTCCCCACAGTTAAGGAACTTATCGCTAAAGCAACAATGCTTGCACATCAGGACACTGAAGCACCCATTAGTATCTCAGTGGACGCATCGGACTCGGCAATCGGAGGAGTCTTACAACAGTGGGTTAACAACTCCTGGCAACCATTGGCATTTTTCTCTAGACGGTTGCTAGACACCAAATCGAGGTACAGCACATTTGATAGGGAACTTCTAGCTATGTATTGTGCTGTACGGTATTTTCAACATTATATCGAAGGTCGTGAATTCACCCTTTTCACTGACCATAAAACTCTTTACTTCTCCTTAAGCTCTTCTTCAGACAAGTACTCACCTCGTGAGTCTCGACAACTGGACTAAATTTCGCAGTTTACTTCAGATATTCAACACATTTCTGGAGCAAACAATGTAGTCACAGACGCCTTTTCTCGAATAACTTCTTTGAACAGTTTCCAAAGAATAGACCTTAAACTCGCCCAGCTTCAAAAAGAAGACACTCGATGGCCAGGAGCATTACCTGTCAAGGACATCACTGCTGAAACAGTGGCTCGCGCCTTCAACCATCACTACAGACCGCGGACGTCAGTTTGAATCTAGACTTTTCCGTTGTCTGACCACGCATTTAGGAATCGCTCGATTCCGAACACCTGCCTACCACCCACAAGCAAACGGATTGGCAGAACGCTTTCACCGAAAACTAAAAGCTTCACCGACAGGCAACACACCCTATGATACTTCAATAGTATCAGAAAATAAACTTAAGACGACGCGTTCTGGAAGAAAAGTAAGATTTTCAGAACATTTAAAGTATTATTGCACGTAAGGCACTACTTGACATTTTATATTATCTCGATTTTTCTTTTTACCATATGTAATATTTTTTTAAAAGAATCAATTTTTATATGCTTATATTTATGTATTATTGTTTGGCTAATATGTATATTATAAAATTTAAAAAAAAACATTTCGTAAAAATCGTTTTTAGGTTATTTATACTTTTTCGCCCATTTTTTTGTCTTAAAGTGCGTACACTTTATTTCGACATGCACTTACATTTTCTTTTTTTTCTTTTCCAGGACGGCAGGAAAAGACGATAAGAAGAACGACGAGGTTTTCTAGGAACCGAAACTTTGATTGTACATTATTTTCCTACTATTTTGTATTTCATGGTCCCTTATAGTAGGGAAAGACGACTAGACGCTATCAGAAGAGTGTTTACCAAAGAAAAACTTGTTGGGTTTAAACTTCTGGCTGGCCACGTCTTAGGGTCATCCCTACCTCACTAGGGGGAGAGTAATATGTAGCGGTAAATAAATCCCCAAAATAAATAGCTCTGTAAGTTTTCGACATTGGATGCTGACCAGATTAGTTTTAATGGACTCACGTAGCTGAAGGAGCCCGGTCATGCATCCGAACCAGACCATGTGTGGGAACGCCGTGCTCAACATCTACTGCAATCGCTAGCCAGACTAGATCAGACAATTCCGAAATATACAACTTCTGATCTCTTCGGTTCTGACTTTTGATTTCTCTTGGTGGGTACGCTTCATATTAGAAGGTGTTACTGGTAAAAGCGTTGTCAAACACTGAATACCTGTGCCATCTTCAATGGAAACTGGCTTGTTGTTAAAGATGCATTACGCAGCATAACCACTGATGATATGGCGCAGATACGTGTCTTACCGCCTTCAGCTAGCGTGTGCCCAGTGAAAATAATGATATTATCATCAATGTTGTACACTTACAAATGTATTTCTGTATCAACTTTATTTGGCCTGATAACCGGCATGCCTCATATAACAGACTGTTATTAGTGAATAGATTATTGTTATTATTCATTTCGAGGGTTCATCTTTGTCTGAATGTTGAGTGTCTAAAGCCAATTAATTATAACGTACGTTTAACGAGCTACTTACAACTGTGGCCGTATACTGGAAACATCATCCTTGGTAAGCCGTTCGTGGGAATTCTGGGAAGTCAAATATCGAGTGCAACGCGTTGGAGTCTTACTTAAAAAGATTTTAACTACAATCGTTCAGTCGAAGTTAATTCTCGCCTCAAAGGCTCGATAGAATTACATTACTCTGTGGAAGATTGGTTGTAGACGGATTAATTATAAATGACAGTTAGCTCACCACTTACTACACACAGAAAAAACCCAAATTAACAGTGACAATACTTAGACCCAAAGCATAAATTTGATTTGGATGAAACATAAACAGATGAACGACATTGTATTCTTTGTCTGGATTGTGGTGACGAGTTGGAAGGTGCGTAGTCACTGGAAGGAATTTGACCACTATTGCCATCTACATCCTTAAGGAGAGCATCTGATCCTGATGCCCTGCGTCTACATCCATGTGAATAAGCATATCTGACAGATAAAGTACCTAAGAGTTGGGTTGCAGTCATCCTTTTTACATGACATGACGTTCTTATTGTGCATATATTGTTACCTCATATAGTTCTTTCAGACAAGTCTCAAAATTATCCCAAAAGGTAAATCGTAGCATAATATAATTGAATATTCGCTCTGTATCATGCATTAATACGATGAAATCATTTTCGGTACTTGAAGGATGGAGGCTATTAGACATAGCGTGGATGAATTCAAATCAAATTTAGAATTGTCTCGATTTGCCCGCTTCTGAATAAACGTATAGATTGTCAAAGTGGCGCACAAATCGTTATACGGCATTTTGACCTTCATGGGTCAACATTCTCGACAGATTTACTGATCATGAGTGTGAGTGATTACTGTTGGTATATATTCGCGTTAATTCAATCTCACAATAGCATGAATGTTTATACGTTTACGTTATCAACGATAGCTAACTCTATAGAGTAAGAAGCTGACATTGAATGTTTCGCTTGTAACCTATGCATATGCATGCATGTACATGTACAAGTTCATGCATCCCAATCTCCATATTTTAGGGGAAATTTTATACGTTCTGGGTAAATTTTGGGGAAGCCGCAATAAAAAAGTTTAGGGAAGTTCTGGGGAAAATCCCTAATATGTCTGGGTAACTTTTGATCTTCTCCCCAATATTTCCCCAAAACTTTGGGTATTTCCTCAGAATCTTATGACACTTTGTGGAAATTCATAAACATTTTTGATAAAACGCCAGAAATTTTCGCATTTTTGGGGAAATTCTCCAAAATTTATCGTTTTAACGCAATAGTTCTCCACAATTTTCAACCGATATCACAGAAAAGCCTAGCAATTTAAATAATAAGGTACCCAAAAGTTTCTATTCATGTATTTCATTTTTCCCTAATAACTTCGCACAGCAAACGCAGTACCAAAGCAGTTTAACTACAATTGGTAAGAACCGATCTGTCGCGATAAGTCACCACTGTCGTAATTAAAAGACTGATTTGTTCATTAAAGTTTAATAAAATACAAATCGTCCGTTAATACATATCTTTCAATGCTTAATTACTGGTCATGTGTTTTGTAGAAGTACATTAGATAGATATTGCACATTCATTCACATTGTGGGCAGCCGGGAAGTGATATCAGCCCTCATACCCGTAACAACACACGAGAACAAGTTGGTCACATTCAAATCCTTCCTACACCTCCTAATACCTCTCTTATCTCCACGACTAACCCTTCTCACGTCTCTTTATCATCTCGCACCGCTAGGGCAAACGATTCGAGTACGCGGAACGTTATTCCTGGTCTCCTGAAACCACGCTCTAAACTACACGTAGGAGCTTTTAACGTCCGAACACTGTGCCAAATAGGACAACAGGCTTCCTTAGCTAGGACTTTAGAATCCCGCGCCATCGATGTGTGCTGCGTCTCCGAAACGCGCATACAGGATCCGAGTAGCGTCATCTATTTGACCTCACCATGCCAAAATAAAGAACCGACTCGATTCACACTTCGTGTATCTGGAAGCCCAGATTCTGCTTCCCGCGGCCTCGCCGGCGTAGGTATAGCATTGAGTCCTAGGGCAAAACTAGCTCTCTTAGAGTGGATCCCAGTAGACAGTCGTTTGTGCGCTGTCCGACTGAACGGAACAGTAAGGATCCGAAAAGATAGGGACACTCGTCGTTGCCTCTTCGTCGTCTCTGCCTATTCTCCCACTGACTGCAGCTCAGATGATATAAAAGATGAGTTTTACAGAAAGCTCTCCGACCTCCTCCTTAAAGCTAGGCGTTCGGATGTAGTAATAATGGCCGGTGACTTTAATGCTCAAGTAGGTAAACTAAGCGATAGGGAAAGACACCTGGGTGGATCTTATAGCATCGTGGCTCAAAGAACAGATAATGGCGACCGTCTGTTGCAGCTATGCTCAGATAACCGCCTCTTTCTTGCAAATACTAACTTTAGGCATAAGGAAAAACATCTTTTAACATGGAGACCCCCTAATTCGTCCCAACGTTGGACCCAAATAGATCACATCGCTATCAGCCACCGATGGAGGGGCTCGATAGAAGACTGTCGCTCATTCTGGAGCACATGCCTAGATTCAGATCATGCTCTAGTACGAGCGCGTATCTGTCTGCGTCTTACTGGACGTAGGAAAGACGCTGCAAGGAAGCCTCTTAGGGCCCTTCAATAATACTTCGACGCCTAACTAAAGCTCGTGAAGAGCAGATTAGAGTAAATCAGGCTGGTTTTCGACCTGGACGTGGTTGTATAGACCACATATTCACACTACGTCAGGTTCTAGAACACAAACACACGTTCAGACGCCCCACAATCGTAGTACTTCTCGACCTTAAGGCGGCATTCGACTCTGTTGATCGTGAGGTTCTGTGGCAATGTTTGTCACTGAAAGGAGTACCAGAGAAGTACATTAACCTTGTAAAGGCTTTCTACTCGAACATAACTGGTCGAGTGAGAGCTTATGGCGAACTGTCATCAGAACTGATTACCTCAAGTGGTGTTCGTCAGGGCTGTCCACTCTCTCCATTCTTGTTTAACTTTGTCATTGACGTACTTTTAGAGATAACACTTTCCTCATCTAAATTTCCAGGGGTTGAACTTCTACCAGGAGATTCACTTGTTGACTTGGAATATGCCGATGACATAGTTTTATTTGGCGAAGAAGCTGACAAAATGCAGTCTTCTGATCACTCTAAGCAACAATGCAGGCATGTTCGGGATGCGATTCTCTCCCTCGAAATGTAAAATGTTGCTTCAGGATTGGGTTGCATCGACACCCGAACTAATGATAGGAAGTGAAGTAGTTGAGCGTGTCGACCGCTTCATTTATCTTGGAAGTCTGATCAGCCCTTGTGGTTTGGTGTGTGACGAAATCTCAGCACGGATACAGAAGACTCGACTAGCTTTTGCCAACTTGCGTCATTTATGGCGTAGGCGAGATATCCGTCTATCAACCAAAGGACGTGTTTACTGCGCAGCAGTTCGTTCCGTCCTACTTTATGGCAGTGAAACATGGCCGGTAAGAGTAGGGGATATTCGTAGGCTACTAGTATTTAATCATAGGTGTCTTCGAAATATTGCTCGTATATCTTGGGACCATCGAGTAAGTAACGCAGTTGTTAGGAAACGGGTACTAGGTAAGGATGGCAAATCCATTGATGACGTAGTGAAACTTCATCAGTTGAGATGGCTGGGACACATGTTAATTATGCCCAACCACCGACTGTCTCGACGATGTTCAGTGGTATAGGAGTACGTTGGAAGAAAGCTAGGGGCGGCCAGACCAAAACATGGCACAAGTCCATGAAGTCACTGACAAGTTGACTGAGTCATGTTGGTAGGTGTAGACTACCTGGTTGGGGACCACGAGATGATAGCAACCGATGGTTAGAGACCCTGAATGACATGGCTCAAAATCGTTTGCAATGGCGCAGGTGCATCTACTCTTTGTGTTCTCCCAAATTTTGATCTCCTTATTCCTCCTTGTCTCTTTTTTTCTCCTCTCAAATTTATTCCACTGTATTATACTCTATAAGTAACATCTCCAAACACTAATCTTCCCGATTACTGCTTATACTCTTATTACCTCTACCACTACGGGATTTGAATCGACAACTGCATCTCTGTGCTAATGTGGTGTGGCAACTCGAACTGATGTACGTACGTACGAAGTTGTATGTTGTTACTGACTGACAGAACGAAAAATAGTTACTCTTTGGTAAACAAACAAATGTCATGGCAATCATCCAACTTATGAATCCTGAAAGCAATTTAAAAGGTTGATTACGTACCAGCGGTATAATAATGATGCATTCTGAATAAAAAATTTACAGTTACGTCTGTTAAAACTCTCGAAGCCAGCTGAAAATAAGATGAGCAAGAAATAATTATTTCAGCATATATGCTTATCACAAACTAATATACAAACAAAAACCGGTATGTAGTCTAAAGTGCATTTAGCTCACACTTTCTTCGGATTGCCATCCACGCTTATTTACTATATCTTGTGTCGTGTGAGAAAGCCTGGATTGCAACATCCATGACTTTTGTTATTTCTCTTTCTGGACAGGTTTCACTGAGCAACCGTTGACACAGAACCTATGCAAATAAATTAGTGCTATGACGTGAACTTACTTTAAATCGTCATGTAGGATCGGTAATTACTGATACCTAGTTTATTTTTAGTCACATGTAAGGTATAAGTGATTGCCAGTCCAGGCGTCAGCACGTAAGCTAGACATACTTTGGTTGATTTCCGATAATCATCACATACGATTTCGGACAATCTGGCCACCTAAATTATTTTTAAACACATGTTACAACTTACGATCTGGTCACGAAAATTGAGCTCCTCCAAAGCAGCTTCAAAAGTACACAATTCCTCTGGTATTTTCAATGGTAATGCGAAACTTGAAGTGTCTATATTGTCGCTACACCTGTCCTTTACAACCATGGATGAGCTTTTAATGTGAGCAATCAGTTTATTCATCTTGCTAGACAGTCCAGTGACTGCTTTCAGAATCATTTTCAGTGTTTAACTGTCATCATTGTACAACCTTTTGCTATCATGTTTACATTAATTACTAACTTCCGTCGAAGTAGATGGAAGTGGTGGTAAGAAAAGCTCTGTTTTCGATTAACTGCTTTATTAACATTTATTCAATACGTACCTACTTCGCTAAAATGAAAAGTTCCCAATCAATATGTTGACAACTGGAAAATCGACCAGGACGGATGCATCTTCCATTTCAACAACCTTTAGTTCTTCAGAGGTGCCCAATTAGTCGTTCATTTAGCGTTTTACAGCCCTAACAACGAATTAATTGGATATGTTTATCAAGTTACCTCTTCGGCTTCTCTGTTCCACACGGCAGCGTGTCATCATTGGGTGCATTTGTGCTTTTGTAACCGAGTACTGTAGTGAAAGATACTTTCAGTCCCTCGGCTATATGGTAGTCACCTAAAAACAATGAAATCAAAGTGATTACAACTTAGCACAACGATGTAATACTGTGGATTTTCTCGAACAAAAGCGACTATCGCAATCGATACTATCAAGAATATCGGTTACACATCATCGCGATACACAACAAGTTCGTTGTTCAGCAGCCATTTGCTAGGGATGACTAGAAATTGATTCTCCCGTTGTCGTGAGCCAAGATGTACTGTTCTGATTGATGCTAAAAATCAATACTATAGCGTTAAAAATTATAAACTTATTACATTCAAGAACATTCGTAATACGTTCCTGGTGAACGAGGTCAAAGCACTAACCAACAGGCATACTTACTACATAAACTATTATATTTGCGACCGACCTTGAGAAATGATGTCACGTTATCTATTGAAATGTATGTACCAGGGGAATAATAACCTCATATTGCTTTGTCGGTATATAGATGCACTTGCAAAGTATATCTGCCAGCCTAATCTACATACACTCGTGGCTTACGATTGAACACTTGAATATACAAGGCTGTCTACTTCCCCCCTTCCTCTGTCTTCTGATGGTTGATTGAATTGTGAAGACTTTGACATCTGAGGGAAAGCTCAGAATCAACTAAACGATTTGGATTTCGCAGATAACCTAACCCTCCTATCCCATAAACACGAAAAAATGCAGATGAAGACAACTAATGTAGCACCAGCCTCTGCATCAGTAGGCCTCAACATACACAAAGGAAAAAGCAAGATCCTCAAATACAATACGGAGAACATCAACTCAGTCACACTTGATGATGAAAATCTGGAAGATGTGGAGTCCTTCACGTACCTGGGAAGCATCATCGATAAACAAGGAGAATCGGATGCAGACGTAAAGGCGTGTATTGGCAAAGCAAGGGTCGCATTTTACAACTAAATAACATATGGAACTCTTAGTAACTGTCAACCGCTATCAAATTCAGAGTCTTCAATACGAACGTCAAGATAGTCCTACTGTACGTAGCTGAAACGTGGAAAACTACAACCATCATCAGTAAGTTACAAGTATTTACAAACAATTGTATACGCAAAATGCTCAACATCCATTGGCCGGATACCATCAGCAACAGCCTTCTGTGGGAGAGAACAAACCAGCTTCTAGCTGAAGACGAAATTAGGAAAAGACGTTCCAAGTGGACAGGACATACATAGCAGAAACCACCAAACTGCATCACGAGGCAAGCCCGAACCTGGAATCCTGAAGGGAAGCGGAAAAGAGGAAGGCCAGAGAACACATTACGTCAGGAAATAGAAGCAGATATGAAGAGGATGAATAACAACTGTAAAGGATTGCCCAGGACAAGGTTGGATGGAGAGGGCTGGTGGGCGGCCTATACTACTCTAAAAGGAATAACAGGGGTAAATAAGTAAGTGCTGCAGGGAAAGGGGTCAATAACGAAGTCTAAAGGGTTATGGAATGCCCTAAACCCATCCCTGCCTCCATCAGTAATTTGTGATGAACCCCGGTTGACCGTTTGCAATTACTGCGTTGTCAGGCCTAGTAGTTGACAGTTTTGAATTTCTGCAAGTGATGATTTCCTTAGAGAAATCATAACTTACCTCAGACTCAGTCACATTTTCTGACATGTCTTGAGTCAGTAGACTTTGAAAGAGAACTTCTTCGGTATACCGCTGTGTAGCTTGTTTAGGCGCTGCATATCCGCAGTGTACTGAACGCCTCATTTCCGTATGTACGACTCAAAAGGAAAGGCAGAAAATGACTCTAGACTGCCTTGTTTAATCGCCTCTTCAGCAATGTGCTTTAAACCATGCACATTACAGACTAAGTATTCATTACCGTAACAATATTCGTAACTCAATAAGTTGTTCAGATTAACGCGAACACTGTGACCAAATACTAGTAGCTTACGATTGTCTTCTACGCTTAATGGCCACGTTTCACAGCCGTAAAGTGAAACAGAACGAACTACTGTCTAGTATACTCGTCCCTTAATTTATAGACGGTTATCTTGCCTTCGCCATAGGTGAAGTAAGTTGGCAAAAGCCTAACGAGCTTTTCGAATTCGTGCAGAGATTTCTTCAAACGCCAACCAATTAGGGCTGATCAGACTTCCAAGATAAGTGAAGTTGTCGACGTGTTCGATTACTTCACTCTCTATCTTTAGTTCAGGTGTTGACGCAGGCCAGTCCTGAAGTAACAACTTGCATATAGAGGAGGAGAAACGCATCTCAATCATTCTGACATTGTTGCTCAGAGCTACCAAAACACTGCATTTTATTAGCGTCTTCACTAAGCAGGACTATATCATCTTCGTATTCTAAGTCGATAAGTGGACCTCCTGGTAGGGGGTCAATTCCCTAAAATGCAGTTTACGAGAGCGTTATTTCCAGCAGTAGGTCTATGATGAAGTTGAACGAAAATTGAGATATTGGCTCGAAAATGTAATTTTCAGTGCGACTCCAGGAAACCAGGAGTAACGTTGAATAAACTCTTGTGTTTTTTAAAAATTATGTAAACACATACTGGTACAAAGGGGTATCAAAATAAATTTGCACTTCATAAATCGTTGAATTTGTGTATGGGGTGGAATACTGTCTGGGTGCTCCCCAAGACCTTGTGGTCTCGTCCACAAGAACTTTAGAAGATGCGACCTCATGATAGCCGGTGATCAACAACGAGTTCACACCACATTTGTTTCCTCAAAGTCTTGCAACCCATGTACACAGTTGGTTTGAAATCAGGATTTTTCACTCCCCTTATATGGATCCGTGTTCACCAATTTGATTTAAGCACCGCAAATTCGCTTTTCAAGTTAGCAAACAACGCCCCCGCCACGAGAAGACGGAGTAGGACATTGTTGCCTTGCAAATATTTATGTGACTTAACTAGTTTGAGCCTGCAACAGTATATATGGGTAAGTGCACCATACTTAAATCATTTATTTTGGTCGCGCGTGGAAAAAAGATGCGACCATAGGAAAGGATTTGTAATAATGATCGACGAATTATCATGTAGTGGAGGTATTTGATCGTAGATAAAATTATCTTATATCTTGTTAGGGGTGTGCCAGTGTTTGTGAATTTTGGAGTTGTAACACAGTGGGGGTACTTGAGGAACTTGAAAGAGAAACTTCATTAGTAGTGGTCTCATCGATCTAAAGGCGTGACCTTACACTTAAGAAATAACTAATCGCAGATGATCATACAGAGCCTTTTTATGGGTTACTTTTGGTTAGTTCCATACTTTGTTACCGGCTGGAGCGAGAATCTGTAGGGTGCATTTTTTTATACGTGACGTTTTCTAACCTCTTCCTTCTATTGAGAAAAAGTAGTCACTGCAGACCTCAGTTATGTAAAGGAAACATCTTATTGTCTTCGCATCTCAATACAGTTGGAAGTACGATTTCACCCTCGAAACTTAAGTTGCTGCTTAGCGTTGCTTGATCGACCTGTCTGGTATGGTAGAACGTAAAGAAACAAGTGTTCCTATTTTGATTTTAAGTACGATAATTCTGAATAACCGGTGTTTCCGAAACTCTAAAACGGAAGGAGATCTATACTAACTGAATAGAGTGGACGGAGGTTTAATACACAACACTTCAACGATCATTCCATGGACTACTGGAAGAGAAGTCTAGTAAGGAAGATTGATTGGAAAAGACCTCAACGAAACAATTTTTTATGTAACGAAATGACCTTATGTACGAAACATTCACATAAAATGTGCAAGGTACCATGTCATCGACCATTGTAGCGATTTAGTTTGTAAGTCAATCTCCAAGTAGCTAGAACTTGATTGTTAGGCCTAGTCCTTGGTCATCGTATCAATTCCAGATAGTGTGGTTTGATCAAGTTATTACAGTATCTACGTCTGATCATGTTAAAGTGGCAGGTTCAGTGTGGGCGTATCCCTATTATTTAGTCCATTTCATAGAACACTGTGTGTGTCATAATTCTTACTTATTTGATTACCCCTAGTCGATATATACAAAATCTCTACAAAAGTCCCGTTGTCATCCTTGGATGGGGTAGGTGTTCTGTATTAGTTGTCCGGTCTATGTAGTTGCTCTAGATTCTGTTACTAGAAAAGGGTTTAATAGGACTCCCAAGCAATTGAAAACTACCACTTTTAAGTAATGCATTCTTATTCAATAACAACAAGTGAAGACTTCCTGCCAACTAATGAAAAATCTATCATATACACAAAGCTGGTAAATTTAAAAATGTTCGTTAATCTTCGGAACATTTTTTAGGAAGGATATATGATTCTTAAATAAAGAAAAGTACGGCAAAACATTCAAAGGAAATTCGCCACCTGTGGTGACCTTAACCAACAAAGGTTCTGACATTTTGAAATGGTCAACGTTCGTTTTCAATTTTATATATTCCTCAAATAGAATATCTGTTTAAATGGTAGTTCTTGTTTGACCAGAGGAATAAAGCTCCTAACAGTTTAGACATTTGTACAACTGGTGAATTTTAAACATGTATCTGGTTAAATGTTTCTTAAAAATAAATGGTTGTACGTGTCATGTACTTGCAAAGGCTAGGAGTTTTCATTAGTTAACGTTTACATGTAATCTCTATGATTGATTGATGGACAAAAATTAATTTATTTAGCCTGTAGATCGTTTACTAAAAATATCTTATTAATTCGTTTAGCTTTCTGAATAGTTACTTGAATTTAATTCCCAAAATGTCTTTATTTTTTATACTAGCTGCGTATAAAATTCTAGACGGTCAAATGGATTTTTTTAACCGAACACCTATCAAAAATGATATCTTGAGTATTATTGGACACGTAAGTCTATTTCTCTTACCATTGCGCTATTCATATAGCTCAGTTCAAGGAAAAAAAGCGTACATCCTCTGTGCACTGGCAACCATCTGATCACGAGTTCCCGTGAAATACGCCCTTCTACATTTCATTTGGACGAATCACATAGTTTTCATTTCGAGCACGAAAAATCTGATATAGGAAAAAATTCGTCGTTCACTGTAGAAAATACCAGCGCACCTTCTGGTAAAAAGTCACCAATGCAAGCACTTTTAAAGACTAACTCGCATTGTAATTCAAGTATCCTGGGAAACTCCTACTGTAAAAGTAACAACTTTGGTGATTATGAATCTTTAAACTTCTTTGAACCAAAGACAACTCAGGCAGTTTTCAGTGATGATCTCGTTGCACAATCATCCGCACTAACTACATCAGTGCTCAAATATAACGTTGATACAAGTACCAAAGAGAATGTTATCCCTAGTGATAGCGACGATAATTTCTTTACAACGTTTCTGGAATCCTCCAAAGCTGACGTAGACAAGTCAATTTCTAGTAGTGACTCAAATAAAAAATCACCTGATCAGACAGCTAACCGTAGTTCTAACAATATCAAATCACATGCTAGCAGTAGTGATGATGATGATACATTTGAAAACTTTTTGAAATCCCAGCAAACCAAGATAAATAAAATTGAGGTTAATCAAGTCAGTGAATGGTCATCTTGGGATTCTGATGACGATGATAGGTCGAGTTGTGATTCGCCATATCAAACGTTTTACTACAGAGTCAACAACAAGTTGCATTTGTCTGATACCACAAAATTACCGTAAGTTGTTTAGTTAACAGAAAGTCTCATGTTTATTATCATATGATATTTCGTCTCTGTTAGACCTCCTGTTTTATTAATCTCCAGGTAGTTAATATGACTATCCTTCATAATAATTGTTACTATAGTTATGTTCTATAATATTGGGTGTATTTTCTCGGAACTGATATTTATCAAGCTGTTGTTCGAAACAAACGTTGGGATACCAGTATTATTTGCTTGGGTTAGTAGTAGTAATGATGGGCATTGATGTATAACAAGACGCCTTCTTTATTTGCAAGGTGTTCAGTGGAAGCTAAATGCTACATGTATGCACTTCATCCCATTATCTCTCAAGTGAAGCGGTGGCTTGCTTTCTAAACTCATCGGCTTTTAACCAGTAGGTCGCAGTTTTGAACTTAAGTCCACCGACTGTGGTCACGGTCGTTTTTCTTGAACATCACGAACAACAGAGAACTAATGAACTCAAATATGTTGACCATTTTGGAATGTTGTTGCGATGCCTTCTAACACAATGCCTCCGTGTACATAATCAAAAATATTGTAGATTTCTAAAGATACATCGCTAAAGAACAATTCTTATTGGTTATCAGGACATTAAACCGTTATTGCGGTGTATGCTTGTTTTAGCATTCTATTACATACTTTAATACTTTTACAAATGCAAACTTACTTGACCTAAATCATTAGATAAACACTATAAGAATCATTACAAATATCTTTCCGTTCATGTTTCTTAACGCAAAAATAATTTGATTAGCTAAGAAGCTTAATATACTAGTGACATTGATGAAACCTAACAACTACGAACATAGCTGGAGAATGGTATATGAAACTGGCGAATAAAAGTAGTAAATAATATTAAGACTTTTCTGTTAGGTAGTCGGAAAAATAGACCAATAATTACGATGTTAAGTCCAGTGGTGTCCTTGGACCTTAAATGTACATTTCCCATTGGTCGATATTTATTTAACGTGTTATTTTCCTGTTGGCCAATATTGTACAATGTTATTTTCTACTTTGTGGTACGTTGTGGTCTGCTTGACTAGTATATAAACAAAGTATGTTTGAAATGTAATGATTCATAACTCCGAGGTTGTGACTTGTGTTCTTGACTCAACTGGCTAGGGCAGACAGCGAAGCAGGGCCAATCAGGGCACTAGGTCGTCCTTACGTGTTTATGTGTCACTGTCACAGAGGCGATCGATATAAACGCTGCTTATCAAAAACCTGCAGTCCCACCCGTTACAACATTTTCATTACTACCGACTTTGCTACACATTATGTAAAGCCACCAACCACAGATTGATGTAATCTACCGAAGTTGAAAAAGGAGGTCTACGCTTCTCGAAAAGAAAATCCAGTTCAGTAGTGGATGACTTCAAAGACCAATGGTATTTCTTTGTTTGGTAGACAAGTAATGAATAAATATGGCATAACAATTGTTCGTAAAATTACGAGAAAAATGAAGAATAGTATTATTTGGACCATGGTGTTAAACTTCGGTCTGTATAATTTAAGGCCTAAAGTAAGCGATTCTTGATATTTTGAGTGTTCTACTGAGGCCGTCTACATTTCCCTAAACGACTTCGATTGACATCCAATTGACCTATGGACAGTTGCACTGTTTGGTTTTTATCTTTTTCCTCATCCTAATCGCCCCAGTCTTAGTAAACGGTAAATAGTCATAAATCGATGAGGATTGGGTTATCAAATGATATATCTTCCTAAAACCATATAGCGTTCTCAACGTTGATCACTTAGAAACTTAACCACACAGAAACAATCTTTCAATAGCCTATAATATAAAACAAGTTCTTTATAGTTGTGAACTACTATTCATTTTAATGAGACTAATTTTAATCACATTTTAAGAAAGAGTAATATTAATTATATCTGTTGATCATAGGTAGCTAATTTCATGATACTATATATTTATATTTATTAAGTTATCAATGAAAACCTAATTGTTAATCAATATACATCATATAAAAATTATTGAAAAGATAAACAGGAGAAGGAATATTTTTCTTCATCATTACGGCTGTAGACTAATATATTTGTAATTTACAACAATAAAATCATATTAATCGAGTAGTGGTGTTATATTATTTTATTATATCACAAGTGATTATAAAAATAATATCGAATAATTGTAAGAAATCACATTTAGCTTGGGTGCTGTGAATGTTTTCTATACAGCTTTTCTTAACCTTTGTGTTAGCATTTCACAGCTTCACTTATGAGCTGTAACCCAATCTGAATGGTCGTAATCATCGGTCTGACTTTTGTCTCGTTCATATGTTCACTGATGAATTTAGCAGGAAAACCCTTCTTACCAAGAATTCTATAGATATTATTTAATTCATTTTCGATAATGTCATCGAAGCAAACCATTTCAGCATGATAAATAAAGACTTCTATTGAGTTTCTTTTATATTTAATTGGTACCGAAGTGTAAAATGGGTATACTGACCAATCGCTGATTGCTTTGTACGTCCCTCTTAAATGACACATCCAATCTTCTTGTCTAAAAATGTTTCGCTTTTACTCCGTTTTTCTAAACGAGTGGATGTAATTGATGGATGAATGTTATTCAATTTGTTTAGTAAATTGTCTTTTTCATCCCTATTTTCTAATGCTATGGACACTGTTCGATTCTGGCACGGTGGTCTTGAGGTTAAGTGTCTGTGCGCGTGGCCGAAGTTCTCTAGTTTGAGTCTCGTGCGTTGGGTTGTGAATGTGTACGGCTGAGGATTCCCATACTTGGACTAAATGGCCATTTAGTACTTCCATGATTTCATTTTTTGAAATTTTCTTTTATCATATAATAAAGCGATCGTCTCGTCTAAATATTCATTTTCGTTCATAAGAACTACACCATATAAAAATTAGTGTATTCACTTATTGATTTTTGATATATTTTGGGTGTCATGTAGATCCTCATTGTCTTTGTGTTCTCATTTGGGTTGTCTGGTTCAGGGTTTTACAGAAGTGAGCTCTAAGTTGTATGTAAATATCTGCAGTTACAACGCTAGGGTATTCTATTTTCAGTTATTGTGTCAATGATTCAGGACTGATTCACATTAAGTTTTGGTAATCAGGTTTGCACTTCCAAGAACAAGCATGGTTCACACATTTATTCAGATTCATATGTACGTGACTCGTTGTGTTTACTCATATTTAGTTAATTTGCGGATACTCAATTTGAGTGTTAAGATCGTTCTAATGTATCGTAGTTGGGTACTTTAATACGTTTCTGTGAATTGATTCATGTATGCGCAACTGTTATTCGTTTGCTTTTCAGATCAAGATCATCAGAATCGAAACTTTCTGATTCTAAGAAAAAATATGTTCCAGATAGAAAAACTCAGTCATGTGCTGTTCAAGTTTCAAAGTATCCGCATATTTCTAAATATCAGAAAATTTCATATAAGATAGAACAGCGTAATTCGCAATGTGTATCTACGGAGGAATTCGTTTATTCTCTTTATCCAGTTGACAATAATGATAACAGGAAGCAGACATCACACGAGAAACTTCGTCATCCTGATGCGTTAAAGTAAGCTATCTTGATACTTACTACCGTCATGTTACCTTTGATTACTATCCTTACTCTGTCCGGCAGTAAAATTTCGCTGTTTCTTAGAAAGCTAGATTATAATGCTTGTAATCCTTTCTAATATCAGGTTAGTCTAAATCTTTGTGACAAACAGAAATACAAAAATCGTGAATGTTCTAATTACTATATATCTCTTTTTAATATATTTGGAAGATTGTAGGTCGCCTTTAGTCTGGTCGGTTGAATGACCTTGTAAATATTTGGAAGGCTAAGGACATAATGCACACTTTCGGATTCCATCTAGTTATGTAGTTAATGATCTTATGTTATTCCAAATGGCAAATAAATTTAACTGATATCTCCAGAATTTAAAAAACCTATTTATTGTTACTGATGACTTTTGTGTGTATCCGGGTTTGTAAAGTTAGTTTTAGAAGTACCTACTTTTCGGAATATCATCGTATAAAACTAATGTTGAAGTCGTTCTGGCGGAGCTAAACTCTAAGTTACTTTTCTTAATGCTAATATCAATCCGACTGTTGCTGTTACTTTGACGTAGTGGTCGTGCCTGGAACAATTGTTCCTCATGGTCCTACCATGCCAAACAGGTCGTTTGAAGAGCAGTAAGACTAAAAGTAGCAAACCTAAGGTCCGAAGTCAATGTCGTACTGTTGACTGTACAGAGATGTGACAGCAGTAAGTTGTTTCCTTCAGACAACCAGCATAACAGCGGTGCTGCCCTCCCATAAATGAGCGGTGTGGTTATAAAAGATCCACTCTAAAAATGCACACCTCGCCTTATCCCATGCTTATTCGTCTTCGGAGGTAAGGTCTCAGCAGGTACGGAGCGAACACGGAATTTACTCACAACTACGTCGTGTGTGACCGACCTCAAGCAGTTGTTCTTTCTTTCTTTATTTAATTATTTGAACACATAAATATTGGTACAAGAGAGCGCCAATATATATGCGCCACACAAAACAATGAGAATTCGAAGAGGAAGAAAAAAAGGTAAGGAGTGCAAAAAAAGAGAACAATAACGAAGAGGTTGGTGCAAGGTAGTGTAGTAATAATAATAATGGGGGAACGGAAAGGTACAATCAGAAGAAATCTTTCAGTTAAGTAAGATACAACCACGTTTTATGAAGAAAGTAAAAGGTTACAGCAGGATCGCCACTGGCTTCTATTCTGAGCCATATCTGATAACGTCTCCAACGGCTGTGTTGCACCATCTCTCGGACCCCAGCCAGGGAGTCATGAAGGGCCAACACAAGCCAGCCCTTTGCAGCTTACTTTCATACCACGACACCATGTCATACACTGACCACCTCTCCGCTTTCTCCAACCAGTCCCAGAGTCGGCAAATAATGCACGACGTGGAATTCTCTGGGACGACATTCGTAGAACATGTCCAAGCCACCGAAGTCGGTGCTTCAAGATGGTGACATCGATTGCATTATCATCTCTGTGCCCTAACACACGATGCCGAACCTCTGCATTACTGACATGGTGTTGCCACTGGATGTCAGAAATTCTTCGGAGACAGCGATGATCGAACACAGAGAGTCGTCTAACGTCCTCAACTCGGAGGCCAGGTTTCACAAGCATAGAGCAAAACCACTCTCACCGACGCGTTGTAGATCCGACCTTTTACAGCCAGACTAACACCACGAAGGCACCAAAGGTGTCCAGATTGGCATAAGTCGCTCTGGCTTTCACTATACGTGCATTGATCTCATCACTCACGCAACCACCAGCACTTATGCAGCTACCTAGATACACGAACTTCTCGACTACTTCTATCTGCTCACCATCCAGGGTGAGTACAGGATTAGAATTCTGCCAGTCTTGTAGAAGGTGCAAAGCACATACCATACCTACGGACACTGATTTCCAACTGATTAAGTGCGGATCGCATGCCTTGGACATTCTCGCACAATAAGACAATATCATCCGCATACTCAAGGTCGAGAATTCTTTCTCCAGGCAACAGATCCACACAACCATTACTTACATCCATCTGAGCTGTTTCCAGAATGTCGTCGATGGCAAAGTTGAAGAGGAATGGTGAGATTCGGCAACCCTGCCTAACCCCACTGCTTGAATGGAACAATGGAGAGAGGTGGTTCTATGTCCTCACTCTGCCTGAGGTGTTTGTATATAGGGCTTTTAGGATGTTAATAAACTTCTCAGGGACACGCTTCTTCAATAGACAATCCCAGAGAACAGTCCTATCCAACGAATCGAAGGCAGACCTGATGTCAAGAAACACTACGATTGTTGACCTTTGATAAGTATGACGGTGTTCTAACATTTGGCGGAGGGTGAAGATATGATCAATACATCCTCGACCAGAACGAAACCCAGCCTGCTGCTCGCGAGTCAATCTTTCTCGGGTTTTAAACAACCTACGAAGTATGACGGAAGCCAATAGCTTGGACGCAATCGGAAGTAGACTTATCCCCCGATAGTTGTTGCAGGAACGACGTGAACCCTTTTTAAAGATAGGGACAACTATCGACTCATTCCATGACGTTGGTACACTCTCGAGCTCCCAGACCTTTGTAAACAACGTCGTCAATTCCTTAGTCAGAAAGTCACCACCATCTTTAAAAAGAGCCGGAGGTAAGTCATCTGGGCCAGGTGATTTGTAGCGCTTGAAGAGTTGGAGTTCCTTGCGGACTTCCTCCTCGTTTGGTGGATCAGTCGTCACCGGCCATGGAGGAAAGGACAGTCTGACCGATGTTGCCGGAGCAGCAGGCCAGTTGAACTGCCCTTCGAAAAATTCTGCCCATCGTCCAAGACGTCGATGGATGTTAGTGATTGGCATCCCGTCACCCTCGTAGATTGTTTCGCTCACACCAGACTTCTTGCTGCCAGTGGCTTGGATGAGTTGGAAGAGCTTCCGGTAATTACCAGATGCAGCTGCTGCTTCCAGCTCATTAGCACGCTTCGACCACCAGGCTTCTCGGTCCTTACGCAAGCTTTGCCCGATTTCCTTACGTAACATCCTTCGTTTGTGGTCAAACTCACGGTCACCCGGAGTAGACCGACGGGCTTCAATGAATTGTAAGGAACCTGAAGAAACCCAGTGCTTATAAGCGGGACGTTTCGCGAACCCACAACTGACTGTACCCGCCATTTTGATGGGGTCATGCAATTGCAACCAATGCTCATCTATGCTTTTCGGTGGAATGGTAGCTAGCCTAGAAACTAGCTCGGTTCGATACTTACTTGCAACAGAAGTTGCAACCAGCTTGCTAACATCAATCCGTTGGTGGCGGTCACTTCGTTGTCCACTGAAAAGTAAGGTAAGATTGGCGCAGACCAAGGCATGGTCAGAGTCCAGATAGGTACTCCAAAAGGAGCTGCATTCTTGTACACAACCACGCCTGCGGTAGCTGATCGCGATGTGATCAATCTGAGTCCAGGCTTGAGATGCAGAGTGAGGACGCCAGGTGGCACATCGGCGATGACTGTGCCGAAAGTTAGTGCTAGCCAGGAACAGGTTGTGGTCTGTGCAGTTGCAGTAGACGGTCCCCGTTATCTGTCCTGCGACCAACAAGTCCCCATCGACCACCTAAACAATCCTCTTCTGTGCCTAGACGCCCGACCTGAGCATTCAAGTCTCCGGCTAGTACTACAATATCTGTCGAATGCACTTTCTGGAGAAGAACAGATAACTGGTGGTAAAATTCATCCTTGATTGCATCCGGACTGCAATCTGTCGGGGCATAAGCGGAGATGACGAAAAGACATCGTTTCTCACGCCGATTTCTTCTCACTTTGATGGAACTTTCTAATCTAACAGCACATAACCGACTGTTAATGAGGATCCAATCGATTAGTGCTGCCTCAGCTCTAGCGCTTAGTGCGACACCAACGCCAGCAAGACCAGACGAAGATGCCACAGGGTCCCCGGATAAACGCACGTAAAACGTTCATCATATTTGTGTGTGGGCTGTGTTACTTCTCGGGTGCCCAGACCGAAGCAGGTGGTTATCTTAGGGGGCCACATCCCGAGCCTTTGACCTAAAGGTCTAACCCCACAAGGCAGTGGAGCATCGTAAGGAGATGCAGTCCCATGGTAGCCGGTGACCAACGATGATAATCGGTATTGGAGATGGTTGGAAGAAAGTTAGGGGCGGCCAAGCCAAAACGTGTCATGAGTGTTTGAAGTTACTAACTTCTGGTCTGAGGCATGTTGTTAGATGCAGACTACTTGGTTGGGGTCAGCGTGACTATCGTAACCAATGGTTGGAGACTCTGGGTGACATGGCTTAGAATCGATCGTAATGGTGTAGATGTATGCACCCTCTGTCTTCCCTTAAACTGTGAGATTAAAATTACTTTATACCTTTCTTTCTGTGAACTAATTCTTTCTCCCTGTATCAAATCCTTATATTAAGTGTATTTTTTACTACCATTGAAGTAACTGCTTCTATGAATTTGGTGTTGATCTTGTTGTGCTGATGAGGTGTAGCAACTTGGACCGATGTATATATGTGCCTGGTCCTACGTTGTAGCTGATTGACTGACTCAATATCAGCCTACTAGCTTACATAGCTTATAACGATAAGTCTGCAAAGGTTTGTTGATTCTTTTACGGCATATACTTTTACACCGATTTTCTAGGTCAACAAAAGTTTCGTGTAGCTAGAGATAATTTTTATTGTATTGGTGCAACAGTTTTAGCGACCACTTAATTAAAGTGAAAAAAATGCAAGTATGTTATCTTGAGAGATGTTTTGTGATGTACTAAAAACACCGGTTAGTTCACTTATGCCTTTACATCTTTCAGTTTCATTAACGGTTCAAGAGATTGTTGTGAGTCCTTAACTAACCGTTTCGTTTTATATAATGGATGAACAATTCTATCGCAAAACACTGGGGGTATCAGTTTAATGAATATAGCGTAGAATCTCTAAACCCGAAGTCTATCGGTACCTAAGAGAAACAACCCTAAATAGACTACTTAGTTTTTTATCTATAAAAGCTCAGTAGTTCATAAACAATTGTCAACGATGAAGTCCCACACTTTGATACTGCCATGAGTAATTTTTCGGCCTTAGTATCATTAGTCCTACCCAGTGGAAATGAGTTTAGACCAATTACACTTGTGAAATTATATAACTCCTTAGAGAGCGATAAAGGTAATCCGTTTTTCAATGGGAGTAACAGTATAAGATAATATAAAATTCACATGTTTACTGGATTTCATTTGAGGTTCGATTTTGATCACTGTCATTTTTCGGTGTATGGATGGATGGCTATCGCTCAATATCCTAGATTGTTTGGTTAGTCTAAAATTGTTTTACCTGATTGTTTGGACAGCCACGTTATGTTATGGAGAACATAAGTGGAACTTGAAATAAGTAATTGACCGTTAGATCATAAATTCAAAGCCACTCCAGTTATTTTCTCTCAAGTAAGCAGATAATATAATCATGATCTCATTAAGCAGTGATAAATGACGCTCCATATGAATAATTATCACTCATTTCATGCATAAAAATTATGACATCTAATTAGTCTCGTGAATTCGCATGTGATTACTAAGTTCTAAATTTCTTGTTTAATTTTTGCAGGTTGAGAGATGCGTAAATGTTTAGCACTAACCTCTTATTTATTTTTTGCTATCAATGTTACAGATTTGTTCAAAAGTTTAAGACAAATCGATCTGAATTAGCTGAAAAATTATACCAAATTTACAATGAAAAGATATTTTCTAACCAAGTAAGACCTTTCAACACCTATATATATATATATATATATATATATATATATATATATATATATATATATATATATATATATATATATATATATATATATATATATATATATATTTAATGGGTAGAAAGTCAGTAACAACGTAGAACTTCGTACATACGTACATCAGTTCGAGTTGCCATACCACATTAGCACAGAGATGCAGTTGTCGATTCAAATCCCGTAGTGGTAGAGGTAATAAGAGTATAAGCAGTAATCGGGAAGATTAGTGTTTGGAGATGTTACTTATAGAGTATAATACAGTGGAATAAATTTGAGAGGAGAAAAAAAGAGACAAGGAGGAATAAGGAGATCAAAATTTGGGAGAACACAAAGAGTAGATGCACCTGCGCCATTGCAAACGATTTTGAGCCATGTCATTCAGGGTCTCTAACCATCGGTTGCTATCATCTCGTGGTCCCCAACCAGGTAGTCTACACCTACCAACATGACTCAGTCAACTTGTCAGTGACTTCATGGACTTGTGCCATGTTTTGGTCTGGCTGCCCCTAGCTTTCTTCCAACTTACTCCTATACCACTGAACATCGTCGAGACAGTCGGTGGTTGGGCATAATTAACATGTGTCCCAGCCATCTCAACTGATGAAGTTTCACTACGTCATCAATGGATTTGCCATCCTTACCTAGTACCCGTTTCCTAACAACTGCGTTACTTACTCGATGGTCCCAAGATATACGAGCAATATTTCGAAGACACCTATGATTAAATACTAGTAGCCTACGAATATCCTCTACTCTTACCGGCCATGTTTCACTGCCATAAAGTAGGACGGAACGAACTGCTGCGCAGTAAACACGTCCTTTGGTTGATAGACGGATATCTCGCCTACGCCATAAATGACGCAAGTTGGCAAAAGCTAGTCGAGTCTTCTGTATCCGTGCTGAGATTTCGTCACACACCAAACCACAAGGGCTGATCAGACTTCCAAGATAATGAAGCGGTCGACACGCTCAACTACTTCACTTCCTATCATTAGTTCGGGTGTCGATGCAACCCAATCCTGAAGCAACATTTTACATTTCGAGGGAGAGAATCGCATCCCGAACATGCCTGCATTGTTGCTTAGAGTGATCAGAAGACTGCATTTTGTCAGCTTCTTCGCCAAATAAAACTATGTCATCGGCATATTCCAAGTCAACAAGTGAATCTCCTGGTAGAAGTTCAACCCCTGGAAATTTAGATGAGGAAAGTGTTATCTCTAAAAGTACGTCAATGACAAAGTTAAACAAGAATGGAGAGAGTGGACAGCCCTGACGAACACCACTTGAGGTAATCAATTCTGATGACAGTTCGCCATAAGCTCTCACTCGACCAGTTATGTTCGAGTAGAAAGCCTTTACAAGGTTAATGTACTTCTCTGGTACTCCTTTCAGTGACAAACATTGCCACAGAACCTCACGATCAACAGAGTCGAATGCCGCCTTAAGGTCGAGAAGTACTACGATTGTGGGGCGTCTGAACGTGTGTTTGTGTTCTAGAACCTGACGTAGTGTGAATATGTGGTCTATACAACCACGTCCAGGTCGAAAACCAGCCTGATTTACTCTAATCTGCTCTTCACGAGCTTTAGTTAGGCGTCGAAATATTATTGAAGCTAATATTTTAGACACTATATTAGTCAAACTGATTCCTCTGTGATTGTCACAAGAGGATTTTGTCCTTTCTTATAGACTGGCACAATCAGTGATTGAGACCAGTCAGATGGGATTACGTCCAGTTCCCAAATTCTACTTAAGACCTCGGTTAATCTCATTGCTAATACTGAACCACCATCCTTAAAAATCTCAGGGGTAAACCTGTCAGGGCCTGCTGCTGTCCCTCGCTTCAGATTTCCTATGGATTTTTCAACTTCGTAAATAGTCGGAGGACCTAAATTAACTTGCCATTCGGGTTGACTGGAGATCGTGGGAAACCGAAGTGTGACTGAAGGCCAGTTGAACTGATACCTAAAGTGTTCTGCCCATCGATCCAATCTCCTGGATTGAGAGTGAATAATATCTCCATCTTTCTCTGAGATTGTTTCGCTAACGGTCGGGTTCCTAATTCCGGTTTTCTTAACAAGTCTGAACAATTGTCTGCTATTACCTATTGCCGCTGCATTTTTCATCTCTCTTGCTTTCGCTACCCACCACTGTTCGCGATCATTGCGCTTAAGCTGACTCCGCTCTTCGTTATGTTCAGATCCAGATGGACTGAGTTGTCGAGCATCTACCAGTGCCGTAGATGCTGCTGAGATCCAGTGTCGCTCCCTAACCTTCTGGTTGACCGTGCTAGCAGATATCACTGCTGTTTCCACAGCTTTTCGGATATCATTCCATGCTGCATCGGGGTGGGCATCACCTACATGGCTGCCTAACTGTTTTCCTAGTTGTTCCTGAAATATGCTCTTAGCTTGACTATCATTAAGTAGGCCCCCAAGAGGCTTCCTTGCAGCGTCTTTCCTACGTCCAGTAAGACGCAGACAGATACGCGCTCGTACTAGAGCATGATCTGAATCTAGGCATGTGCTCCAGAATGAGCGACAGTCTTCTATCGAGCCCCTCCATCGGTGGCTGATAGCGATGTGATCTATTTGGGTCCAACGTTGGGACGAATTAGGGGGTCTCCATGTTAAAAGATGTTTTTCCTTATGCCTAAAGTTAGTATTTGCAAGAAAGAGGCGGTTATCTGAGCATAGCTGCAACAGACGGTCGCCATTATCTGTTCTTTGAGCCACGATGCTATAAGATCCACCCAGGTGTCTTTCCCTATCGCTTAGTTTACCTACTTGAGTATTAAAGTCACCGGCCATTATTACTACATCCGAACGCCTAGCTTTAAGGAGGAGGTCGGAGAGCTTTCTGTAAAACTCATCTTTTATATCATCTGAGCTGCAGTCAGTGGGAGAATAGGCAGAGACGACGAAGAGGCAACGACGAGTGTCCCTATCTTTTCGGATCCTTACTGTTCCGTTCAGTCGGACAGCGCACAAACGACTGTCTACTGGGATCCACTCTAAGAGAGCTAGTTTTGCCCTAGGACTCAATGCTATACCTACGCCGGCGAGGCCGCGGGAAGCAGAATCTGGGCTTCCAGATACACGAAGTGTGAATCGAGTCGGTTCTTTATTTTGGCATGGTGAGGTCAAATAGATGACGCTACTCGGATCCTGTATGCGCGTTTCGGAGACGCAGCAAACACCGATGGCGCGAGATTCTAAGGTCTGACTGATTTTGAAGACTGACTGACTGACTGATTCTAATGTCCTAGCTAAGGAAGCTTATTGTCCTATTTGGCACGGTTTTCGGACGTTACTCCTCGTGAAGGAGCATAGGCCGCTCACCAGCATTCTCCATCCTACCCTGTCCTGGGCAATCCTTTCTAGCTCCGTCCAGTTGTAATCCATCGTTTTCATATCTGCTTCCATTATCCGACGCAATGTGTTCTTTGGCCTTCCTCTTTTTCGCTTCCCTTCAGGATTCCAAGTTAGGGCTTGCCTCGTGATGCAATTTGACTATTTGCGTAATGTATGTCCTATCCATTTCCATCGTCTTTTCCTAATTTCTTCTTCAGCTGGAAGCTGATTTGTTCTCTTCCAGAGAAGGCTGTTGCTGATGGTATCCGGCCAATGGATGTTGAGTATCTTGCGTAAAAAGCTATTTATAAATACTTGTATCTTCTTGATGATGGTTGTTGTAGTTCTCCAAGTTTCAGCTCCGTACAGTAGAACTGACTGCCTTGACGTTTGTATTGAAGATTCTGACTTTGATATTGGTTGAAAGTTGTTTTGAGTTCCATATGTTCTTCAACTGTACGAATGCTGTCCTTGTTCTACCAATCCTCGCCTTTACGTCTGCATCTGAACCTCCTTGTTCATCGATGATGCTTCCCAGGTATGTGAAGGACTCTACATCTTCCAGAGTTTCGCCATCAAGAGTGATTGGATTGCTGTTCTTTGTTTTGCATTTGAGGACCTTGGTTTTCTCCTTGTGTATGCTGAGGCCTACTGATGCAGAGACTGCTGCTACACTGGCTGTCTTCATCTGTACCTGTTCGTGTGTACGTGATAGGAGGGCTAGGTCATCTGCGAAGTCTAAATCGTCTAATTGATTCTGAGCTGTCCATCGTATTCCGTGTTTTCCTTCAGATGTCGAGGTCTTCATAATCCAGTCGACCACCAGAAGAAAGAGGAAGGGAGAGAGTAAACAGCCTTGTCTGACTCCGGTCCATACTTGGAATGCATCTGTCAGCTGTCCTCCATGCACTATTTTGCACTGTAGTCCGTCGTATGAGTTTTGGATAATATTGACAATCTTCTCAGGAACTCCGTAGTGTCGAAGAAGTTTCCATAATGTCCTCCTATCTACACTGTCGAATGCCTTTCCATAATCAATGAAGTTGATGTATAGTGACGAGTTCCACTCAACTGATTGTTCGACGATGATCCGTACTGTTGCAATTTGGTCTGTGCACGACCAGGCTACAGGCGGAGTTAAGCGACTTATACGAAACCTCAAAATGTTGAAAATTCAGTTTTCTGCCTACATTTAGCTTACATGTATACTACAGTTATTTAATAATCAATGTCTTTAGAGCATTTCTCACCTATTAATGGACCAACTTGTAATTACGGCGTACATTCTTAAGAAGGCAACCAGTCGATGATGTTGTGTGCCAGTTCTCAGTGAATTGGTTGGGTTATGAGCCAGGGATTCTAATCCATTGTACACCCCCGACAATCATGGTAATTGGATTCAAACCAAACTGACATGACTAAAGTATAATATGCTACAACTTAGCATCATTCCATACAGCCTGAATTTTGTAGAAAGATGCTAATCCCCTGAGTACTTTATTTTGATGATAGACACTGGTGGTTGAAACCGATCGTTGACGATCCTAAATCAGTCACTATGATTCAATTATTTCACTACTGTTTATTTATTTCCTCTATTCTATCCTACTTATCTGCTATATCATCTTTACTCACTACTTATGTTCATCCACAGTTACCACCAAAGTTAGAGATTATATGGAGTCGTCGACTATTGAAAACTGCTGGTCTTTGCAAGTACATGATGCGTACATCCACTCATTCAAACGGAACATCTAATCAGGTACAACTTTGAAACTCTAGCTTTATTTATATCTCACTTTTTAAACAAGATTATATGTTGATGTGCGCTTTGTTTTCTTTGATCAGATGAGGGTTTGCGCTCTCAAGGAGTTCGAAAAATAAAGAATGCAATTGATCTAAAAAACAGTGAAGGAAAAATAATATCAAAATTAATCTGAAGCTAAAGATGAGAAATACGGTTTAAGGAAAAACATGCAATCAAAGATTGTATCATTGTCCATTTTTTTATCAACTACCAACCCACCAAGTCTGGTGAAACTTCCAGAATGACTGAGGTAGTAAATGGGCTTGACTGCTGCACTCCTTATGATCAAACTAGGGGTAGATGCAAACTAGTTTTTAAGCAAATATTTACGTTTAGAATAAAAGATACTCATTACGGACATTTTTACGTTATTCTAAGTGATCAGAAGGCTTAAGAGGATCTAATCTTACCAACTTCAAGTTGGTTAGTTCTTTTTAGACTTCTGTGAGTCGGAAATTCGGCGTGAATAATTCTTACAAACTTAGTTAGTGGTGAGTATTTGTAGACTAGATGAAGATTAGTTGGACTGTTTCTAAAAGTAACCCACTCATTTTTTCAGTCACCTTGTCTAATAGAAAAACAAGGTTTCACCTTTCTCATTGACAATTTATCAAACCGTTGACTTCTTAACTTCAGTGTGTCCGATGAGTCTAAACAGTTATTTAGTGTTATTTGTTTCTGCAGACTTTTTTCACATCTTTACGTTGCTCATCGCTAGTTATTTCTAGGATTTTTACACGTTAAATTTCTTCTATGAATGCTTCAAAGGCATGCGATTCGGAAGCTCTGGCGAGTAGATACTCTTATTTGGTCTGAAACAGTGTACTAAGATCGATAGCTCCAACACTTTATTTAAAGCGCGGTTTCAGTAGTTCGTTCCGTCTTTCTGACCATAAAGCTTTGTGACCATAGATACAAAGCCAATAATATAGAATCCTTTTGTCAACCCATTTTTTTGTGTTAACTTTTTTTAAAAAATCATGATTCTAACACTGGAAATTCAGAGGGTACCTTGATATCCGTAGAAAATAATGACTATATTTCACATAACGTTTAAAGCACAATACATTCTTGTCACCTTATGCTGCTACTACATAAAATTAATCGTTGGAATTTTCCATACTCTCAACTACGAGTCTGAAGGTTAGAACTCCGTTTCGTCTGCTTTGGTCTGAGTGCCATGTTAGTTTTACAGACCTTCGATAAATGTATCACAAAACCAAGCATACAAAGTTGTATTAGGTAAATAAGTTGTTGTGGCCACGGCAACTGATTGTGAGTTTGGCTTTAATTTAATGATTGAACTTTTATTTGATCACAGCTCATTAATGCAGCTTTTCTTCAAATAAAGCTGTATCATTTAATTGATTTGGCTACTATTTATCTACTTTCTCTGAGTGTTCTGTTGAGTGATTAGTTGATCCAACATAAGTTCATTACGTGTAAGTAAAAATTTTTTAAAGAGAATCCTTTACCTGTGCATGAATGAGTCTTGATTATTAATTTGTCATCTTTCTTCTCAAACTTCTCGAAAGCACTTATACGACAAATAGAAATGCCATCAAGATGACCAAATACCATATAAATTAATACAAGTCGCACGGTTTATTTGAATTTCAGAAGAAGTTCGAAAAAGAAATTTCCAGTCATTCCATTTCTAAATTCCTTAATGTTTACTTTTTAAGTAGTATAACTTTTTGTGTATAATTGTCTTTCGTTAAATATTCTTACAAAACATTAATTTCATTTGACTGATTTTCAATGGTCATTCTAACTAGTGCAGTTGACTGATACTAACCCATATTATTGTGATGTTTATCAATCCGAATTTTAATATGATTATAAACAACAAATAGGCCAAAGATAGATGAAAGTTCTTAAATCTGACCTGTTGTATAAATTATTTAAACATGTGTCATCAATCGATAAATGTTTAATAATAACCAACTTCATTATTGCCACGTTTTTTTTCAACTTGTGACAACTTATAGGTTCGTATCGCTCAGATTTTGTTATCGGAAAAAGTATGCACCACAGCTGAGCGCGTTCGCGATACCCTGCTGCACGAGATTTGTCACGCTGCTGTTTGGTTGATTAATGGTTTAAATGATGGTCATGGACGACACTGGAAATCTTGGGCTAACCGTGTTCATCGAGTTTGGCCGAAGCTGCCTGTGGTTTCTGTTTGTCACGCATATACAATTGATACACGATTCACATATCGATGCACAGGGTGTGGTGTATGTATTAATCGACATAGCAAATCTTTGGATATTACTAAAAAGGTAAGATTAAAATATTTCCTTATTTTATTTCCCGTTTTTCACTAATAGCATTCTAATATAAATTATTTGAAATTGATGCCGCTATTCTAAGTAGACTAAACCAATAGTTTTTGATGGGGTTTTGTTCTCTGATCTGGATGATTTGGTCGTGGAGCTTTCATCGTTCTTCTGAACGACATCATCAGCACAAACTTCAGATAGAAGTGAAGCGTTCGGATTTCTCCATATGTAGTTCACAGCTTGTCCTGTGGAGAAATTCGAACGCTTCACTTCTATCTGAAGTTTGTGCTGATGATGTCGTTCAGAAAAACCATGAAAGCTCCACGACCAAACCGTGCAGCTCAGAGAACAAAACTCCATCAAAATCATCCACCTGAGCTACACATCTTCACGATCTCTAAACCAATAGTTCAAGTGACATAATAACATCTGATTCCCATACAAAACTGTTTGTGATTCAAAGTTCCTTTTGTTTACTTAGGTTGCTCATTTAACCTAAGTGACTATTCTTCTTTTTTCCTCAGTTTCAAAATAATTCTTTTTCCCAACTGTTTAAACATAATACTAATAATATATAATAATATATATATATATATATATATATATAGTAAGAATATTGTTTTCGATAAATTTTTATAAGGTTCTACGATTTAATAAATAGATATGTGACTATGAATGCCAAATTAAAAATGTACATACTTTGAATAAGAGGTCCCTATTCATGCCCCTACAATACAAAGGCGATTCATCCATTGAAATACCAATCTAGAGGTTATGTAAAACAATCAAGATAATAGTTTCCACTTCTCCGATGGCATTACTGAAAGTGAAAGTTGAATCATCTGAACTGAACACCTCGTTTTGCATTTATCGATTCGACTGCTCATGTGGAGGTAGATACAGGAATTCGCACTTTCGTGCTCGTGAACAACTTCCAGCGTAGCTTACCAAAGGTGTAGCCAAGACAGTAAACAGCTCAACAGTAGCTTATTCACTTTAAACTGGTCATAGTGCCAACACAGATTGATGATTCTCAATAGTTTGTCGCACTCGTCCTTAAAATGGCAAAAGCATTAGCTATCCTGATAAAAATTTGAAGCTATTTATGCTGAAGAAATACGTCCTACTTCTCTTACCCTGGTCAAACTCGGGCCCAGTAAGTCAATAGTCATGTTAATTTGATAGAAAGAACTAAAATCTCCGCACATACAATTTTCGGTTTATGTATTTTTATCGTCTAAAATTAATCTTGCCAAATATTGTCAACATTATTTTTACTCATGGGTCTTTGTATTGTTGTGTTATTTTACAAAGGCAAAATAAGGTATGGTAGTGAATTAAACAATGCTAAATGTTAAAAGTGGCGAACACTCTGGTTACTTATTATATTCACATGTTATTACCAATATTATCTCCATTAACCCGATGACATTTTTGTATTCTGCATTTTATTCACACGATTTTTTTGTCATACTGATTATAACTTGATACCTTACAGCGAATCATTCTGACCTTTCTAATTTGCAAATGGAACAGTTTTGAAGTATTTGTCCGTAACAAATGCGAAGGTTCCCCATTTTTAACATATAACATTGTCAAACTCATTAATGCATTGTTCATATATATATATATATATATATATATATATATATATATATATATATATATATGATTCCTAATCTTTTACTTAATCCACTACAACCTATACTGTCATTATCTCTACTACTCTGGGATTAGCCCTGGTAGTTTCATCTGTCTATGCTGATGGGGTGACAACTTGAACCGATGTACATATGTTCAGGTTCTACGTTATGATTAACTAACTGTCGTTCGTTCCATATAAATCTTACCGTTGTCATTTATGGTAGTATATATCTGTTCTGATCGTCACTACGCCACAAACTTTATTACCGTATTTCCCATGCAAAACCCTATTTTAATAAATCTATAATCAGAGCACAAGAAGATCAGTTGAGTGGTCACCAGTATCTTTAACTAATCAAATGCAAAACTCACATGATTGAATAAGTAAAAGATAAAACCTTAATGCACTAAAACCCTCAAATCTCAGTAAGTACATAAGTTGGATATTTCTGATGCGAAGCTGATTAGCATTATTCACAATTGACTGTAGTTTATGAATAATAAAAGATAAATTATTATAAAGCAACTCCACGAAAAAATTAGTAGCCACTCATCAAAGCTATATAGAAACTAATTGGTCAAAAAAGTAAATATCCAAATTTCAGATTTCTATTTTCCTAGCAACATAATTATTGAGATGTTCTGATGATCCTTTTATTCACTATGACATCAATAAAGATCTATAGTGTCTAGCTGCTAAAATCTAATTAAATGAAGTGAGTTAAGAATGCATGGAAAAGTCTCTAAATCCGATTATATTGTAATGTTTCGTAAGTGCATATAAACCAATTAAATAGTGATTTAAACATTTATTCTAGTGTACTTATCTTTTAATAGATATGTGGTCATTGTCGTTCGAAGTTTGAATTACTCATTAATACACCTAAAGGTCGTATGCTTCGACCCAGTTTAGCTGCACAATATGATAAACGTCTTCTCCCGCATTGTTCTTCCAATAATGTAACTAAAATGCCTTGTGAACTAGAAAAGTATCAGTTGTCTAGAACTCTAGATGAAAATAATCGAAATCACAATGTTGAAAATGGACTATCAAATATGTTCAGGGACTTACGAGTTAAATGAAATTTCTCCCTAATGTTTTTGTTTTTACTGGGTTATATTTCTATTGATAAGATAATATTTTTGATGAAATTTTCTACCCTGTGTATGTGTTTGCATTTGAACATACCCTGTAATTCAATATTTTCACTTATTTTTTTACACCTTTTCTGATTTCTACCTGTTAAGTTTTATCTTAAAATATGTTCTCAGGTTGGATTTTTCACTTCTTTTTTTTAATTATTACTCGTGTAATCGATGCATTTAGAAATAAAATAGATTCTCTCTAAAAAAATTGGAATAGTTCATTTTGTTTATTTGAAATGTGTTATAAATAGCCCCATAATAACTATTTCGTATACTTCACTTTGGTTTAAATGTAAGCACATTCCGGATAAAATAGCGGAAACGCAATATATTTAAATAGCCCAATCGGGATTGTTTACAAAGCCATTGGGGGCATTTTCATTGTGGAATAGGGACCAGCCATCTCAATTTCAGAACTTTGTGCGGATGATATGTTAGACCCCCAAACTTTCATCTTGTGCTTTCTTAAACGGTAGTGGAAATGGAAGATCAAAAACATCTGGTGGATAATTTCTGAACCAATTATCATGATTTTACCTTGATATTATTACTACCTCTCTTTTGGTCAGTGTACACGCATCTGACAACAAATCTACAAAATTTGAAATTGTTAATAACTGTCTCTAATGAACTATGTGGTTCTACTCTTGATTGTTGAAGACAATATAATTGGGTGACCCGGGATCACTCGTGTTTCATCTAAGTATATGAACAAAAGGAGGATATTGTATAATATTTCTCCAGATACTTTGTTGCTGTCACTGACCGACAAAATATAATTACGGAGAATTCATAATATAATACCAAAGTCCGAATCCCTCTGTTGATTCCTATTCATTTCCGAACCACTGATGTCAAGAGTATTTATAGTTTATAATTTGTTTGTAGATTTTCAAAAGAGCAACTCAATACGATTTTGGGAGAAGTGAAAGCAATAATATTTATACTAGATATGGTGAAAATTATAGTCTAGCGAAAAACGAAGAAACATAAAAATTAACAGTTCCAAAGCCTTTGGGAAAAGTGATAAATTTGGTTTTAATGAGGAATTGTTACTTGAAGCAAGTACACCAACATCAAATCCACGAAATGTACTGAATAAAGGTAAAGGCAGCTATCGATATATGATGGTGAAAAGTTTACTTTAATGCCTTTTAACATCTGGATTACTGTTTGGATGATTGGAAATAAATGGATTCTTGTATGGTCATATGTATACACGATTCCAACAAAACGTTCGGTGTTGAGAAAAGCATGGAGTGGGTTAGCAGCTGACTTCTCAGGATTTCCAGAAACATTTTGAACAAATGAAAAATAGGTAGGATAGGCGTATTCCCATAAGTGGAAATTATAAGACTGATATACCATAAATTACGTAAAATAAACTTCTGCACACATACTCATTGGACTAAATATTGTGTTTGATTGGTTCCCAAACAAACGATCATTGCTTTTATATGCACTGGAATAGCCCAACGATTATTTGTAATACAATTATAGTTGTCTATAAGCACTCTTCACAAGAGTACATCCCTTGATAAGAGGTTTTGGACGATAGCTTCCCCCGTAAGATTATTAAATCAGCGTAGTTTTCTGTATCAATTGCGCATAGCTAGGATTTTACTTTCAGAAGTTTAAATACGATTTCCTTTTTTAGTAGTATTTTATTTTTAAATATTATGATTCTCATCGTCGTCTGGGGATTTATATATGAAGTTTGGTAGTCACCAAACAAATACATCCTACACAATTTCACACTAGTATACTAGAAATTCAAAGTAAGGCTGCTGAAGAGATATATGTATTGAGCCTTCTCAGCAAAACAAACATACAAAATTATTAATTGAACTATAAATATATAAGACATTTGTATACAGAAATTGATATACCGTAGAGCCAAACTAGAGGTTAGTTAAAATGAATTCCGATCAGCAATAAGAAATGGATTTCAGTACTACCTACTAATTAGTGACAAGTGTTGGAGTATAATTCACACCTTGGGTGCGCTAATACAATCTCATTAGCAAGATTTATGCTTAAACGATGAGCGAAATATTGTGAGAAAAAAGTTAATCAAGTCAATTATCACTGACTTCATAATTACTGGATACTTTTCATAAATCAAAAATCCGCTTTGCACCCAAAAGAAATATGTTCAGCCACTCCGCCTGTAGTTCTTCTAGAGTTACTGCCGGTCACAAGCCCGGGCAAACGAGGGTTGGTGATAAGTCTTGCAGATTTGAACGCTATATTCGTCTCCTAAGCTATTCTGTAACCCCCAAGCTAGAACTAGACAGCGATCTGAACACGAGAGAGAAGACTCAAGGTATGCGAGAAGTAGTTTACTCCAAGGTTCATTTTATTACAGAAAATATAGGGTTTTTATAATATTTTAAATGTCCTTAGGTCGCTGGAATATTCTGGAATGCTACTAAACATAATAGCAGTGTAGCAGCCAACCAATCAGAGCCTCTGCATGTGACGTTTCGCTTCCTTGATATTTCTGGCCAAGACTCCAAGTGAACGCTGATTGGACGAAACGCTTCTTAGTGTTTCTTGATGATTGCTTGTCTTTTGCAAGCAATTTTCTGGATCACCCCAACAGTTGGGCATAGGGTTAGCGACGCAATCCCGTAGAAAACTAACTCGCTAAAAAATTAGGAAAAGAAGATGGAAATGGATAGGACATACATTACGCTAATCGCCAAACTGCATCACAAGACAGGCATCAACATGGATTCCTGAAGGGAAGCGGAAAAGTGGAAGGCCAAAGAACACATTATGTCGGGAAATAGAAGCAGACATGAAAAGGATGAATAACAACTGGAAGGAGCTGGAAAGGATTGCCCAGGACAGGGTTGGATGGAGAATGCTGGTGAGCGGCCTATGCTCTTTCACGAGTAACTGACGTAAGTTTCATAAATCAAACACAGACAACTGTTAGATTGTATTTTTTTAAATAATGTAGTCGGTCGTATGAATCCTGTATGATGTTGACGATCTTTTCAGGTACACCATAGTGTGAGAAAAGGATCCATAGGGTTCTCCTATCCACTGTCAAATGCTTTCTCATATTCAAGAAAGTTGATGTATACTGACGTGTTCCATCCAACTGACTGTCCAACAATGATCTATAGTGTCGTGATTTGGTCTGTGCATGACATATACTTACGGAATCTGACCGAATCTTTCATCAAGTTCAGCAACATTATTAAAAACCTTTCTTGGTACTGATAGTAGTGTGATGCCTCTGCAGTTCTCACATTTGCCCAGATCCTTCCTTGGCATCTTGATGAGGTATCCTTCTTTTCAGTCTATCGAAACTTGTTGATTTTCTCAACTCGTTCTGAATAGAACGTAGAGTATGTTTGCAGGTATCTCTGTTTCTGACCTCACCGCCTAGTCTAGTATACTGTCAGACCCTGCTGCTTTCCCACTCTTGATTCGTCTGATGGCCATCCTGATTTCTTTGATAATTAATAGAGTGACATCTATAGGTAGGTCTGTGTGTGTTGCTTCGAGTTCCTCAAAGTGCTCTCCCCACCTGTTCTTGAATCTCAGTGATTGTCTTGCCTTCTTTGTCCTTGACCGGTCTCTATGGTTTACAATATTTCCCCGCTAGTTTCTTCGTTGTGTCGTATATTTGTTTCATATTTCCTTCTGTTGAAGCTTTGTGCGCTGTCGTTGCTAGGTCTTCCACATATCTCTTCTCGTTAGCTCTAATGCTCTCCTTCACTTGTTTGTTTGCTAATCACCACAACAGCGTTAATACGAACCAAATATTTCGTATTATTTGTACTACTCATACTTTTAAACTCATTCGATCACATACACAGAATATAAGACCATAACACAGCGTAAATAATAAATCTCAATACGCACATAACTGGAACATTTATAATTAACTACTGGTAATTTATAAATGCCAAAAGATACATTATTACTCAATAGGACGGATGGAAGCTTACACTTAAAATAGTGTAAAATTTACTATAACCCAGTTGTTAACCAAATAGGGATTAGAAGTACATATAATAAAATCTCAGGTAACACTTCCTTATGTTACAAATTTTCACGTAGTCCCTCAGTCCTAACTAAAATGGGGTCTATTCAATCAAATAGGCTTGCATTCTGATTTGAAGTAATTTCATTTCAACATTATTCGTAAATAGTTTGAATTACTTCGACTTTGAGAAAATTTCAAAACATCTAATGTGCATTGTATCACTTCAGTTATTGAAAGATGAACTGGATTGAGTGAATATAAACGAAACATTATGAGGATGCGATGGGTCTAAATGAAGGTTTATCGACACTCGCTTGTCCCTCTCTGACAAAGTTCTATTACTGATAACCTTAGAATACTACAATGTTAGTGAATGATGAAACATTGTGTGACAAATTCGTCCACTGACAAAAGAAATTAAAAAATCATTGCAGATAAGATATTATTAGAAGTAAGAGTGAAGATAATGTTATGTTGGAGAACAAAACACTTCTGAAATAAATCAAGATATGTGTTGTGCCAGCGATCAAGGTAAGTGTGATTCACGAAATCTGAGGCAAACCAAATTCGTCCAGTTTGATATTGTTCTGCAAAAAGATTAGGACAATACAAAAAGAAGTACGTAATTACCCAATGAAAAGCAGGCAGTACATTTAATATGCAATGACCTAGAAAAATGATGAAATATTAACTGCTCTCGTGATTTGTAGTATTAATAATATAACTACAAAAACCGTAACAAAAACTTAATTAGTTCTCGATATTCTGGCTCCATATTTTGGACTTCTCTAGTAACTTATCACATGAAGCATTATTGTTAGTATGTGTCATCAGAGGCTATACGGAAGACCTAAACATAAGTTGCTGAACACTGCATTTTCAGTCAGGCACAACGCAGAACATATATAGATCGGTCCAAATTGCCACATCAGAACAACCAGAAATTGTTAGGCCAAATCCCAGAGTAGCAGTAAAAATGAAAATGGAAAAAATTGTACATCGAAGATATGATTCAAGAAAATCTACATAAGCGAAACAAAATAAATTGTAAAAGATTCAAAAACTTACGATCTAAGGAAGGACAAAAAGTGAATCATCTACCCCCATTGAGAACGGTTTTGAGTCGTTACCTAGAATTTCTAACCATTGATAAAGAGTCACAACGACCCAGGTCAAATCACCTGTGAGACGGTGGAAAGGATTTGTGGCTCAGGTGGATGATTTCGGTGTTCTGTTTTGAGTTGGAATATTTGGTGGTGAAACTTTCATAGTTCTTCTGAATCCATAAACAAATAATCAACCCTTATTAACCAAGACATTATGAATTCGCATATACAGACTATCTCGATGATGGAAGTGAGTTACAAGGTAGGACCAGGCACATATATACATCGGTCCAAGTTGCTACACCTCATCAACACAACAAGATCAACACCAGATTCACACAATGATAACTAATGTACACTACAGGATTCGCGAATACCAACACGTCATGGATGACCCAAAGGGGAAGCTAGGGAAGATACTCACATTAGAACATTTGGTGGTCTTGACAACAGCCATTGAGATATCATGCAGACGACACAGAGAACAAAACAAACTAATCAAGATTTCGAAACCGCCTACGGAAGAAAACACAAACAACTGCATGCTCAACCTGTTAAAGCAACCGCTCACATAAAACTGCTAACCAATGACACAGATCTCCCAACGTAGACCAAGCTTCAAAGTAAAAATTTACTAGAACTCATCGATTTATGCTTAACAACATATTTTCAATTTAGCAACAAAATCTACGAACGAAAGGAACACTGATGAGATCACCAATATTATTGCAAAAGCAATGATACAGAGACTGGGAAACTCGACCCTATCAGTGATCAAGTCAAATATTTGGATTCATTATGTGGACGACACATTCGTTACCATCAAAAAATACGAGCTGGAAAACACCTACATTCTGATTAACAACGTCTTCGATGACATAAAGTTTACAGTGGAACAGGAGTCAAACAACAAACTATCATTCTTGGATGTATTAATCACCAGAACCGACACAGGAAAACTGGAGACCCAAAAATGTCGGAAGCTGATCCACACAGACCAAATTCTCAATTACAGTAGCGACAAGCCAAGAACTCACAAAATCAACTGCGTACAAACTTTATTCAAGAGGGCGAGGACACAATGCGACACACTTGCAGCGCGGAAAAATGAGGAAAAATATCTGAAGACTATCTTTCAAAAGAATGGCTACCCAATCAACTTCATCAAAAAATATGAACCAAACGCATCAACAGAAACAAAATCAGATACAGAGACCAGCAATCTGATTACCCTACCATATATATATATATATATATATATATATATATATATATATATATATATATATAGGCATATCAGAGATTGCGACGAGATTGTTAAAGCCTTTTGGAATAGGTATAGCACACAAACCAACAAAATCACTCCAATCAATCTTATGCAAACCAAAGAACGAAATGACAAAAGAAGAAGCGAAGATCATCCACAAAATAAACTGTTCCAACTGCCAAAAACACTACATCGGACAAGGTGGACTACCTCATCATCGCCTGAACGAACATCAATTAGGGGTCGAACGCCATGACATATCCTCCTTATATCAATGCAAGTGGACAACTGCGGATATACATTCGACTGGGAAAATGGTGAGATCTTGGATAGAGAAAATTCTAAAAACACCAGAGACTATTCGGAAGCTTGGCACTCAGGTCAATCAGCGATCGACAACCACATTGAAATCGAACCAATTTATCAACCAATCAAAAACATTATGGACAAATATGGGACTAAAAATCAAATCAATGACAGACGCAATCCAAATAAAGAAGTAAACAATGACAGGTCAAGGGTCAACAATAACCAATCAGGACCGATGCCAACATGACAAGCTGGGAGACATATGTGGAGAAATTCGAACACTTCACTTCTGCTCGAATCTTGTGCTGATGATGTCGTTCACAAGAACGATGAAAGCTTTACGACCAAACCATCCAGCTCACAGAAGAAAGTCTACAAGATAGTCTGTACCCATCTACATGGTTTAGCCCAATAGTTAGTGTCTTCATAGACAGATGAGTTGTATTTGTTTGGTCGATCCTAGCTTGTTTACAACCTACCCCAACTTCAACCATCACCGATGTAGTTTGTGGATGGGAATACATAATGTCTTGGTTAACAAAGGCTCACTACTTTGCTAATCGATGTCTCATACCTGGTAATCTACGTCTAATCATAAAATTGGTAATTTAATAGTTCCGAAATATACGAGCGATTGTTCGAAGACATCCGTGACCGAACAATAGCAATCTACGAATATCCTCCAACTTTTACGGCAACGTTTTCAAGCCATTATGTAGAATAGAACGAAATACTGGACAGTAAACTCATCCTTTGGTTAACAAACAGATCCTTATTACGCCACAAGTTGGCAAAAGCCGATCGAGGTTTCTGAATTCGTGCCGAGACTTAATCAGACACCAGCCCATTAGGGCTGATGAAATTTTGAAGATAATTGAAGCGACTGACGCACATCTTACAATTAGTTTAGGCGTTGATGCGTAGTTTAGATCCTCAGTAATATCTGTCTTCCCCAAAACAAAATAATGAACGATTTAGTGAGCTACTGTACTCAACTTTTATATGTGCGTTTCATTATAAATAGGTATTTTGCAGTTTCCGAATGCTGCTGATAAGATGTTTATTTTCTAAGGCAATTAATTAATTCGATGAAAATATAATGGCGAATGTGTGCCAAGATTATTCGACAGAAACTTAAATTATCAGATCATAATATTAGACACTCGTAGAAGCCTAAAAGAATGGGCATTATGGACAAAATTCTTCAAACAAAACAGATATTCAAAAACGAAGAATATTTGAGCGAACAATTGTTTTCAATAACTTCATCATCAGGCTCTACAGTTATAAGTCCATAATTATAATATTTTACAAAGGCCAAAAATAAGGCATGTATTAATGAGTTTGACAATGTTATGTGTTAAAAATTGGTGAACGTTTGCATCTGTTACGATATATATATATATACTTCAAAAGATTGTAATATTTGCAAATTAGAAAGGTCATTCAATAAAGGTCAGTAAATTGTTCAGTCACAATAAGATAATGGTACTATTGCAAAATTGAAAATAATTTTGTCAACTGAGATAATAATAATAATGTTGTGTGAATATAATATGTAATAAGGGGGGTGTTATCAAGATAATTACGGTCAACAAATTGGGAATGATGGATATGAAGATTAAGATATAGATAATGAAAAATAATGATAATAAGGAAAATAAATAAAAATGAAGGAAGGGGTAAGAGGTTTATAATATTCAGTCTAGGTATTTGGTGATCCAGTCGTACGCCAGGGTAAACATAGAGGCTGGATATATTTTTTCTGGATGCATAAATTAGGTCTTCTGGAGTTGATCCAGATGGCTTCGGCTGTGTAAAGCAGTCGTAATCTAGCTCCTTGAGGTAGATATTTTGGAACTTGATATAAAACAGAGAAAGCTTCCTCTATTTTGATATGATGTTCACTATCTACCAAGTGAGAAAGAATGTTGCTGTTAATCGATTTGGTGACTCCTTTTCCCAACCATGCTGGTACATGTTCACGAACACGCAAGGATAAAGCCCTCTGAGTACGGCCTATGTAACTAGCTCCACAGGAGCAGTTGAATTGGTATACACACATGGAGGAGCCCATCTTCGGTAACTTATCCTTGATTAGTTGTGTGAGTACTGGTTTAGTCGAGAAAGTTATGTGTAACTTGGCGGCATGAAACGTCCTCTCGACAGATCTTTTGAGTCGACGTGTTAGAATATCACCCGCTATGTCGGCTTTAAAGTCAAGTTTCAGAAATAAGGTCTTTTTACTGACTGTGTCGCAATGTCTTCTCTTTTTAATACTTTGTACGAGGTATTTTTTGACGAAATTATCAGGATAGCCATTATTACGTAATGTGTTCTTTAGTATAACTATTTCTTCCTCCACACTGTCTTCAGAACATAATAACTTGATTCTGTGTTTGAGACACTTAACCAAATTTATTTTATATTGCAGAGGTGTGAAGCTTTGGAAATGGGTATACTGACCCGTCCATGTACACTTTCTAAACATATTTCGCTTTATGGAACCATCTATCCTTCTAGAGAGTCGGACATCTAGAAAAGCTATACTATTGTCCTTCTCCTCGCTGGTGAATTTAATGGCTGGGTGGACATTATTGAAAGCGTCTAACATCTCCTGTTTGTCGATATTTTCGTCACATATGATTAATGTGTCATCTGTGTATCGACAGTAATAATCAAGCTTATTTAGGATGTCTTTAAGCGGTCCATTTTCTAGTTTGGTCAGAAAAATATTAGCAAGGATCGGGCCTAGAGGTGATCCCATTGCTACCCCATCTACTTGTCGGAAAAATTCATTGTTAAACTTAAAGTAGATATTCATAGTGCATTTCAAGAGAAGTTCTTTCATTTTGTTTATTGGGATAGGAATCTCTATTTTCTTTTCTATCAGTTGTTCACATATGTAATCTATAGTTTCAGTCAGAGGGATGTTAGTGAACAAAGATGTTATGTCTAGTGATAGCATGGTTTTTCCATTTATATTCATATTTTTAATTGTATCAACAAATTCAAAGACGTCTTTAACATTATGCTTAGCAAGTTCTTGGTGCAATGGTTCTAATAACTTAACTAACCATTTTGCTGTTGAATGGCATGGTGAATTTGCCATATCCAGTATCGGGCGTAGAGGAATATCAGGTTTATGGATCTTAGGTAGACCATATAGTCGAGGGGTATGTGTTCCAGAAGGCTTAAGCATATTATAGGTACGCTCAGAGATGTGTTGGTGTTGATTTAGGAATTTTAATGCTGCAGTTAGTTGACGTTCGGTCTTTTCATTGAGGTCTTTACATGACCCAAGCTTTTGGAATTTAGTTTGATCACTCAGTAGTGAATTCATCTTATCTATGTAGTCTGTCTTGTTTAGAATTACCGTGCCCGATCCTTTATCAGGTTTAGTGATAAGAATGTGTTCATTCAACTTGAGTTTCCGGATGGCCTCACGATATTGTTCATAAAAAACTAACAAAAGGGTGAAAACTAATCACACTAGTACAGTAGTCTCCAATTTATTTGGCGAAAAATACGCTGTTTAGTTTTGCTGAATTATTCTCAATGTTGCCTTACCTGCTGCCATATATTAAATCAGTCCAACTGTCGAACACTGGAACATTTAACTGGGTTATATCACTTGCGAAAAAACTTTTGGCAGTTTAACTAAAAATACACATAATTACTAGTGCTTTCTGACATCATTTAAGTCCAAAAACGAAAAGCGAAAGCCCTGGCAATGAATTAAATCTGATAACTTACAGCAGACGGCATAGTACCCATGGCTGGAGTTGGTAAACTTTCTCCAGGAATCCCCGTTGGAACAGAAGGTGCGTTAAAGTCTTCATTTAAATACGTTGTATCAGAACCTAGCTCATCACACAAACCCATCAATTCTTGTTCCAGATCATTTTCATTTATATCGGGTGTCGCGTAGGACTGACTGAGAATATTTTGTAATTCATCAGTTGAGACGAGTAGATCAGCTAAATCGTCTTGAAGGTCCTATCGAAAAACAATGAAAGGAAAGATGTAAGACCTAAGTGCACCAAACAATATAGAAACTTCGATTAACACGTAACACCTACCTAGTAAACGATACCGAAAATAATCGCCATAATTTACAAATAAACATCGAAACGAACTTTGAAAAGGTCACTACTTATACGAAACATGAAAATATCATCCAGCTATTTAATAATTTTACATAGTGCCTGACGTTTAATTTGGATATCGTCCATTCACCATTTAATTTACATACAGCCAGTACGTTTAATGTGGCATGCGAGGTATGTTTAAACAAAAGACAAAGAAATCTGAAGGAAACCCATAGTACTTCCGCATTAATGTGGATATTTTTGTACCTGGAAACGTGAGAGCGAAATTAATATACTTTCATAATACTAATTCTTATCACGAATATCGTTTGACTAGATGATTAAAAACTGATAAACTGAAAATAGGCCCTGATAATTTACTTTGATCAATCAAACTGAATTTGTCGTTACGTGATATGTGGTTCACAAACTTGAATACGAGTGTTTATCGGAAATTGGTGAACTGTACTATAATTTTCTGACGCCCTTGTATGAGGATAGCTATTTTCTGCTTCGGTCTGGGCACCCGGGCAGTATCTCAGCCCGCACACAAAAACATGATGAACTGTCTACTTCCGAAAAATATTCCTCTCGCTCCAAATAACAATCAAGTGACTCGCATTATTATTATTTACTACGTCATTATTCACCCTCTTTTATTTCCGCTCTGTTTATAATTATTTTTTCGACTTAAACAGCAGGTCGACTTTGGTGGAAATTCGACTGTATCTAAACGTTCTCGAGTCACTGTCCGGTTGAAAATTGTATGTTACCACTGAATATGAGTACTGAAGCAGTTTTTCAGAAACCACGTGCACCATTCAAACTGGCCGCCTTCAACGTTCGCACACTTATGCACGTTGGACAACAGATAGAGCTGGCTATGTCTTTGCAAAGTCTTAATTTCGATGTTTGCTGTCTATCCGAGACCCGTATTCAAGATTCTGGTGAAGTACTACAAATTCGCTCTGCATCTGTCGCTTCGAAAAGCTTGTTTTACGTGCGCTTATCCGGGGACCCTGTGGCATCTTCGTCTGGTCTTGCTGGCGTTGGTGTCGCACTAAGCGCTAGAGCTGAGGCAGCACTAATCGATTGGATCCTCATTAACAGTCGGTTATGTGCTGTTAGATTAGAAAGTCCCATCAAAGTGAGCAGAAATCGGCGTGAGAAACGATGTCTTTTCGTCATCTCCGCTTATGCCCCGACAGATTGCAGTCCGGATGCAATCAAGGATGAATTTTACCACCAGTTATCTGTTCTTCTCCAGAAAGTGCATTCGACAGATATTGTAGTACTAGCCGGAGACTTGAATGCTCAGGTCGGGCGTCTAGGCACAGAAGAGGATTGTTTAGGTGGTCGATGGGGACTTGTTGGTCGCAGGACAGATAACGGGGACCGTCTACTGCAACTGCACAGACCACAACCTGTTCCTGGCTAGCACTAACTTTCGGCACAGTCATCGCCGATGTGCCACCTGGCGTCCTCACTCTGCATCTCAAGCCTGGACTCAGATTGATCACATCGCGATCAGCTACCGCAGGCGTGGTTGTGTACAAGAATGCAGCTCCTTTTGGAGTACCTATCTGGACTCTGACCATGCCTTGGTCTGCGCCAATCTTACCTTACTTTTCAGTGGACAACGAAGTGACCGCCACCAACGGATTGATGTTAGCAAGCTGGTTGCAACTTCTGTTGCAAGTAAGTATCGAACCGAGCTAGTTTCTAGGCTAGCTACCATTCCACCGAAAAGCATAGATGAGCATTGGTTGCAATTGCATGACCCCATCAAAATGGCGGGTACAGTCAGTTGTGGGTTCGCGAAACGTCCCGCTTATAAGCACTGGGTTTCTTCAGGTTCCTTACAATTCATTGAAGCCCGTCGGTCTACTCCGGGTGACCGTGAGTTTGACCACAAACGAAGGATGTTACGTAAGGAAATCGGGCAAAGCTTGCGTAAGGACCGAGAAGCCTGGTGGTCGAAGCGTGCTAATGAGCTGGAAGCAGCAGCTGCATCTGGTAATTACCGGAAGCTCTTCCAACTCATCCAAGCCACTGGCAGCAAGAAGTCTGGTGTGAGCGAAACAATCTACGAGGGTGACGGGATGCCAATCACTAACATCCATCGACGTCTTGGACGATGGGCAGAATTTTTCGAAGGGCAGTTCAACTGGCCTGCTGCTCCGGCAACATCGGTCAGACTGTCCTTTCCTCCATGGCCGGTGACGACTGATCCACCAAACGAGGAGGAAGTCCGCAAGGAACTCCAACTCTTCAAGCGCTACAAATCACCTGGCCCAGATGACTTACCTCCGGCTCTTTTTAAAGATGGTGGTGACTTTCTGACTAAGGAATTGACGACGTTGTTTACAAAGGTCTGGGAGCTCGAGAGTGTACCAACGTCATGGAATGAGTCGATAGTTGTCCCTATCTTTAAAAAGGGTTCACGTCGTTCCTGCAACAACTATCGGGCAATAAGTCTACTTCCGATTGCGTCCAAGCTATTGGCTTCCGTCATACTTGGTAGACTGTTCAAAACCCGAGCAAGATTGGCTCGCGAGGAGCAGGCTGGGTTTCGTTCTGGTCGAGGATGTATTGATCATATCTTCACCCTCCGCCAAATGTTAGAACACCGTCATACTTATCAAAGGTCAACAATCGTAGTGTTTCTTGACATCAGGTCTGCCTTCGATTCGTTGGATAGGACTGTTCTCTGGGATTGTCTATTGAAGAAGCGTGTCCCTGAGAAGTTTATTAACATCCTAAAAGCCCTATATACAAACACCTCAGGCAGAGTGAGGACATAGAACCACCTCTCTCCATTGTTCCATTCAAGCAGTGGGGTTAGGCAGGGTTGCCGAATCTCACCATTCCTCTTCAACTTTGCCATCGACGACATTCTGGAAACAGCTCAGATGGATGTAAGTAATGGTTGTGTGGATCTGTTGCCTGGAGAAAGAATTCTCGACCTTGAGTATGCGGATGATATTGTCTTATTGTGCGAGAATGTCCAAGGCATGCGATCCGCACTTAATCAGTTGGAAATCAGTGTCCGTAGGTATGGTATGTGCTTTGCACCTTCTACAAGACTGGCAGAATTCTAATCCTGTACTCACCCTGGATGGTGAGCAGATAGAAGTAGTCGAGAAGTTCGTGTATCTAGGTAGCTGCATAAGTGCTGGTGGTTGCGTGAGTGATGAGATCAATGCACGTATAGTGAAAGCCAGAGCGACTTATGCCAATCTGGACACCTTTGGTGCCTTCGTGGTGTTAGTCTGGCTGTAAAAGGTCGGATCTACAACGCGTCGGTGAGAGTGGTTTTGCTCTATGCTTGTGAAACCTGGCCTCCGAGTTGAGGACGTTAGACGACTCTCTGTGTTCGATCATCGCTGTCTCCGAAGAATTTCTGACATCCAGTGGCAACACCATGTCAGTAATGCAGAGGTTCGGCATCGTGTGTTAGGGCACAGAGATGATAATGCAATCGATGTCACCATCTTGAAGCACCGACTTCGGTGGCTTGGACATGTTCTACGAATGTCGTCCCAGAGAATTCCACGTCGTGCATTATTTGCCGACGCTGGGGTTGGTTGGAAAAAGCGGAGAGATGGTCAGTGTATGACATGGTGTCGTGGTATGAAAGTAAGCTGCAAAGGGCTGGCTTGTGTTGGCCCTTCATGACTCCCTGGCTGGGGTCCGAGAGATGGTGCAACACAGCCGTTGGAGACGTTATCAGATATGGCTCAGAATAGAAGCCAGTGGCGATCCTGCTGTAACCTTTTACTTTCTTCATAAAACGTGGTTGTATCTTACTTAACTGAAAGATTTCTTCTGATTGTACCTTTCCGTTCCCCCATTATTATTATTACTACACTACCTTGCACCAACCTCTTCGTTATTGTTCTCTTTTTTTGCACTCCTTACCTTTTTTTCTTCCTCTTCGAATTCTCATTGTTTTGTGTGGCGCATATATATTGGCGCTCTCTTGTACCAATATTTATGTGTTCAAATAAATAAATAAATAAATTATTTTCTAACTAGTCTCCTGGATGAAATTGCTCCTGACTAATCATAAGCCACTAAGTCATGTTGCATTTAATGAGATTTAGAAGTTTCAACTTGATGTTAGAATACATTAGTCAAGGTAGATCTATAGACCATACCACATACTATGCAAAAGCTAGAGGAGACATATTTACATTTAATTCTCTATAATATTTCTCACTATAATATCAGATATGAAAGACAACGAGGGATAGTAAAACAGACAAAACCTTGAGAAATATTAGGTCAAGAGAGGAAATTAGTCAACGGACTCAGTATTAAGTCTTGACATGTGTAATATTTTTAGTTGGTGTCAGACAACCATATTCACTTATTAAGAACTAAGTAATAAAGCTCAGAGACGGCTGATATTGTATGAATGCACTCATTTTCACAGCATCACTCTACATCTTTTGCTACCGACTGTTTCTCGTCTTCAGCCGTCACATCTCGGTACAGTCAGCAGTATGATTTCGCTCTCCGACCAAGGGTTTGCTGCTTTTAATCTTACCGTACTCCAACCGACCTGTCTGGCATGGTAGGACCTTGAGATACGATAATTCCGGCCAGTATAGCCCAATTGGTTTATCGCGTCAGGCAAACTCAACCACCACGTCAAGGTAGCAGCAATGGCCAGGGGCGTCTTGAAGACCTAGTATGGAATCTAAACCTGACATCTCTAAGACCAACAATAAGCAACTCCAAGAGTTGGTCGCATGTTTCAGTCTGCACTGTTTTTTCAGCTAAATGATGATGAAGCGAGGATCACACATACGAGTAATTTGTGACTTGACTCTTGAAAAATGTATCTCGGTTACCTGAATTGTTTGAATTGTATAACCCTTCTAATTGACTCTTTATGATTCTACAATAATCTTGCTGACTTTTCTTAGGTGTGATGTTAAGTTTGGCAATTAATACTCGTAATTCTTTAGGATAGATCCAATATTTCTATTTACCAGACTGAATCTAGTCTTATTCGAATGGTATATGTATATATATTTTAACAACTTTGATATTAGTCGAACATGCATCCAGAAGTATAAAGAATTTAGTTCATAGCTGAATTGAAAGCATATATCAATTAGTGTTGTGTTCTAAAGCTCTGACCGCACGTAACAATTCACAGTTATAACAAAACGTTAACGTCAGGTTCGAATGGAGAGACTACAATTTATGGACGAACCAATCAAGTATACGATAACAGGAAACGGATTTTGGCGCGAAATTCGCTCATCCATTTGGTTAAATAAAGTCATGACATCATAGCTGATGTTAGTTCGTGATTAAAACCTTAAATTTAATTTCAAACCTTAACCGTCAACTGTAAATCATCATTCGAACTCCTTATACTAATTTATAACCCTCATTTGGCCTTAGTTATTAGGTGAACACTCTCAAAGTCAGTTGTGTCGCTCAAAGGTCCATATATGGTGTTAGCTACATTTAGCTCGATGGACGGAAAAGGAGAGCTTCAACGAAGTATGACTAGCATGGTCTTACGTAAAACTGTTTGATACTAACGGCGTAAATTTACTTTTATAGACAAGCAAGTGCCTCTGGTACAAAATTAATGAATAAACCATTGACAAACAATTATGATCCTAAAGATATTGCTTCCCGCAAAGATTTCTATAGACTACAAAATTGCAAATGGTACCAGATACATCCACACTAGTGGACTTACTTCCACATTATTTAGGTTAATTTTTTTCATCTCCAGTTTTAATTCTTTGGCACCGACTTTCATGGCATCCACTGTAACTTTGGTATCACGCACAGTCTGGATAGCAAAATTAGTCTGTTCCATATTAAAACTTTGGTTGGAAAGTTGTTCCTTTTGATTTTCATACACCTTCTTTTGCTTTAAAATTCTTAAAGCCTTCATTTTGACGCTCTCTTTAGCAGGACCGTCTCTCATCTTTTGCATTTGTAGTTTATATTTTTTAAGTTCCTCATCCAGTTTATCGATTTTTTTATCAACAGATTCGGCCCGGCTATCTACCTAAAATACCTAAATATTCAAATTTTGACGCAATTACATTGGAAATCACATCAGTCAGATTTGGAGGGGGCTGTTTCGGCTTAGCTTGTCCGAAGATCCGGTTCATAACTTTAACGCGGCACAACTGAGTTGCGCGGGTAACCTTAACTATTCAGAAAAACTGCAGACACTTAAAAGTTCAAAAACCACTATCAGTTTTGCAATGACAAGACTCTTTGGTGGTCTGTGTTATTAATGACAATACTATTCTCTCAACTGATTTATCTTCTTTTCAAAAGAGTTCGCAGATGAGCTTTCAGTCACATATTTAGGTAGCGAGATACCGGTCTCATAAAAATGTTCATCATAATCACCTTTTACTAATAATGTTGTCTTACTGCTTCCCTATTATAATGAGGTGATGTTTTTCTCATCGGTCCTTTGGTTTATTTACGAATATGAGCACTTCGGGTATTATATAGATTTCGTAACAAGATTTACGTCATACATTCTTCCAGCCTAGAGTAAGGTCAAGGCACAATAAGAAGTAGCTCGTCCTCTTGCTGAACAGACATATAAGAGATGCCAACAACGATTAACATGGGATTTGGGATAATACGTCGCAGTTAAGGAGTCCGGTAAGACAAATTGGCATCAAGTAATTATTTTTTTAAATTTTTATGGTCAGTTGCGAAGTTCAATTTATTGCAAAGTTCTATTACTGATAACCTTAGAATACTACAATGTTAGTGAATGATGAAACATTGTGTGACAAATTCGTCCACTGACAAAAGAAATTAAAAAATCATTGCAGATAAGATATTATTAGAAGTAAGAGTGAAGATAATGTTATGTTGGAGAACAAAACACTTCTGAAATAAATCAAGATATGTGTTGTGCCAGCGATCAAGGTAAGTGTGATTCACGAAATCTGAGGCAAACCAAATTCGTCCAGTTTGATATTGTTCTGCAAAAAGATTAGGACAATACAAAAAGAAGTACGTAATTACCCAATGAAAAGCAGGCAGTACATTTAATATGCAATGACCTAGAAAAATGATGAAATATTAACTGCTCTCGTGATTTGTAGTATTAATAATATAACTACAAAAACCGTAACAAAAACTTAATTAGTTCTCGATATTCTGGCTCCATATTTTGGACTTCTCTAGTAACTTATCACATGAAGCATTATTGTTAGTATGTGTCATCAGAGGCTATACGGAAGACCTAAACATAAGTTGCTGAACACTGCATTTTCAGTCAGGCACAACGCAGAACATATATAGATCGGTCCAAATTGCCACATCAGAACAACCAGAAATTGTTAGGCCAAATCCCAGAGTAGCAGTAAAAATGAAAATGGAAAAAATTGTACATCGAAGATATGATTCAAGAAAATCTACATAAGCGAAACAAAATAAATTGTAAAAGATTCAAAAACTTACGATCTAAGGAAGGACAAAAAGTGAATCATCTACCCCCATTGAGAACGGTTTTGAGTCGTTACCTAGAATTTCTAACCATTGATAAAGAGTCACAACGACCCAGGTCAAATCACCTGTGAGACGGTGGAAAGGATTTGTGGCTCAGGTGGATGATTTCGGTGTTCTGTTTTGAGTTGGAATATTTGGTGGTGAAACTTTCATAGTTCTTCTGAATCCATAAACAAATAATCAACCCTTATTAATCAAGACATTATGAATTCGCATATACAGACTATCTCGATGATGGAAGTGAGTTACAAGGTAGGACCAGGCATATATACATCGGTCCAAGTTGCTACACCTCATCAACACAACAAGATCAACACCAGATTCACACAATGATAACTAATGTACACTACAGGATTCGCGAATACCAACACGTCATGGATGACCCAAAGGGGAAGCTAGGGAAGATACTCACATTAGAACATTTGGTGGTCTTGACAACAGCCATTGAGATATCATGCAGACGACACAGAGAACAAAACAAACTAATCAAGATTTCGAAACCGCCTACGGAAGAAAACACAAACAACTGCATGCTCAACCTGTTAAAGCAACCGCTCACATAAAACTGCTAACCAATGACACAGATCTCCCAACGTAGACCAAGCTTCAAAGTAAAAATTTACTAGAACTCATCGATTTATGCTTAACAACATATTTTCAATTTAGCAACAAAATCTACGAACGAAAGGAACACTGATGAGATCACCAATATTATTGCAAAAGCAATGATACAGAGACTGGGAAACTCGACCCTATCAGTGATCAAGTCAAATATTTGGATTCATTATGTGGACGACACATTCGTTACCATCAAAAAATACGAGCTGGAAAACACCTACATTCTGATTAACAACGTCTTCGATGACATAAAGTTTACAGTGGAACAGGAGTCAAACAACAAACTATCATTCTTGGATGTATTAATCACCAGAACCGACACAGGAAAACTGGAGACCCAAAAATGTCGGAAGCTGATCCACACAGACCAAATTCTCAATTACAGTAGCGACAAGCCAAGAACTCACAAAATCAACTGCGTACAAACTTTATTCAAGAGGGCGAGGACACAATGCGACACACTTGCAGCGCGGAAAAATGAAGAAAAATATCTGAAGACTATCTTTCTAAAGAACAGTTACCCAATCAACTTCATCAAAAAATATGAACCAAACGCATCAACAGAAACAAAATCAGATACAGAGACCAGCAATCTGATTACCCTACCATATATATATATATATATTATATATATATATATATATATATATATATATATAGGCATATCAGAGATTGCGACGAGATTGTTAAAGCCTTTTGGAATAGGTATAGCACACAAACCAACAAAATCACTCCAATCAATCTTATGCAAACCAAAGAACGAAATGACAAAAGAAGAAGCGAAGATCATCCACAAAATAAACTGTTCCAACTGCCAAAAACACTACATCGGACAAGGTGGACTACCTCATCATCGCCTGAACGAACATCAATTAGGGGTCGAACGCCATGACATATCCTCCTTATATCAATGCAAGTGGACAACTGCGGATATACATTCGACTGGGAAAATGGTGAGATCTTGGATAGAGAAAATTCTAAAAACACCAGAGACTATTCGGAAGCTTGGCACTCAGGTCAATCAGCGATCGACAACCACATTGAAATCGAACCAATTTATCAACCAATCAAAAACATTATGGACAAATATGGGACTAAAAATCAAATCAATGACAGACGCAATCCAAATAAAGAAGTAAACAATGACAGGTCAAGGGTCAACAATAACCAATCAGGACCGATGCCAACATGACAAGCTGGGAGACATATGTGGAGAAATTCGAACACTTCACTTCTGCTCGAATCTTGTGCTGATGATGTCGTTCACAAGAACGATGAAAGCTTTACGACCAAACCATCCAGCTCACAGAAGAAAGTCTACAAGATAGTCTGTACCCATCTACATGGTTTAGCCCAATAGTTAGTGTCTTCATAGACAGATGAGTTGTATTTGTTTGGTCGATCCTAGCTTGTTTACAACCTACCCCAACTTCAACCATCACCGATGTAGTTTGTGGATGGGAATACATAATGTCTTGGTTAACAAAGGCTCACTACTTTGCTAATCGATGTCTCATACCTGGTAATCTACGTCTAATCATAAAATTGGTAATTTAATAGTTCCGAAATATACGAGCGATTGTTCGAAGACATCCGTGACCGAACAATAGCAATCTACGAATATCCTCCAACTTTTACGGCAACGTTTTCAAGCCATTATGTAGAATAGAACGAAATACTGGACAGTAAACTCATCCTTTGGTTAACAAACAGATCCTTATTACGCCACAAGTTGGCAAAAGCCGATCGAGGTTTCTGAATTCGTGCCGAGACTTAATCAGACACCAGCCCATTAGGGCTGATGAAATTTTGAAGATAATTGAAGCGACTGACGCACATCTTACAATTAGTTTAGGCGTTGATGCGTAGTTTAGATCCTCAGTAATATCTGTCTTCCCCAAAACAAAATAATGAACGATTTAGTGAGCTACTGTACTCAACTTTTATATGTGCGTTTCATTATAAATAGGTATTTTGCAGTTTCCGAATGCTGCTGATAAGATGTTTATTTTCTAAGGCAATTAATTAATTCGATGAAAATATAATGGCGAATGTGTGCCAAGATTATTCGACAGAAACTTAAATTATCAGATCATAATATTAGACACTCGTAGAAGCCTAAAAGAATGGGCATTATGGACAAAATTCTTCAAACAAAACAGATATTCAAAAACGAAGAATATTTGAGCGAACAATTGTTTTCAATAACTTCATCATCAGGCTCTACAGTTATAAGTCCATAATTATAATATTTTACAAAGGCCAAAATAAGGCATGTATTAATGAGTTTGACAATGTTATGTGTTAAAAATTGGTGAACGTTTGCATCTGTTACGATATATATATATATACTTCAAAAGATTGTAATATTTGCAAATTAGAAAGGTCATTCAATAAAGGTCAGTAAATTGTTCAGTCACAATAAGATAATGGTACTATTGCAAAATTGAAAATAATTTTGTCAACTGAGATAATAATAATAATGTTGTGTGAATATAATATGTAATAAGGGGGGTGTTATCAAGATAATTACGGTCAACAAATTGGGAATGATGGATATGAAGATTAAGATATAGATAATGAAAAATAATGATAATAAGGAAAATAAATAAAATGAAGGAAGGGGTAAGAGGTTTATAATATTCAGTCTAGGTATTTGGTGATCCAGTCGTACGCCAGGGTAAACATAGAGGCTGGATATATTTTTTCTGGATGCATAAATTAGGTCTTCTGGAGTTGATCCAGATGGCTTCGGCTGTGTAAAGCAGTCGTAATCTAGCTCCTTGAGGTAGATATTTTGGAACTTGATATAAAACAGAGAAAGCTTCCTCTATTTTGATATGATGTTCACTATCTACCAAGTGAGAAAGAATGTTGCTGTTAATCGATTTGGTGACTCCTTTTCCCAACCATGCTGGTACATGTTCACGAACACGCAAGGATAAAGCCCTCTGAGTACGGCCTATGTAACTAGCTCCACAGGAGCAGTTGAATTGGTATACACACATGGAGGAGCCCATCTTCGGTAACTTATCCTTGATTAGTTGTGTGAGTACTGGTTTAGTCGAGAAAGTTATGTGTAACTTGGCGGCATGAAACGTCCTCTCGACAGATCTTTTGAGTCGACGTGTTAGAATATCACCCGCTATGTCGGCTTTAAAGTCAAGTTTCAGAAATAAGGTCTTTTTACTGACTGTGTCGCAATGTCTTCTCTTTTTAATACTTTGTACGAGGTATTTTTTGACGAAATTATCAGGATAGCCATTATTACGTAATGTGTTCTTTAGTATAACTATTTCTTCCTCCACACTGTCTTCAGAACATAATAACTTGATTCTGTGTTTGAGACACTTAACCAAATTTATTTTATATTGCAGAGGTGTGAAGCTTTGGAAATGGGTATACTGACCCGTCCATGTACACTTTCTAAACATATTTCGCTTTATGGAACCATCTATCCTTCTAGAGAGTCGGACATCTAGAAAAGCTATACTATTGTCCTTCTCCTCGCTGGTGAATTTAATGGCTGGGTGGACATTATTGAAAGCGTCTAACATCTCCTGTTTGTCGATATTTTCGTCACATATGATTAATGTGTCATCTGTGTATCGACAGTAATAATCAAGCTTATTTAGGATGTCTTTAAGCGGTCCATTTTCTAGTTTGGTCAGAAAAATATTAGCAAGGATCGGGCCTAGAGGTGATCCCATTGCTACCCCATCTACTTGTCGGAAAAATTCATTGTTAAACTTAAAGTAGATATTCATAGTGCATTTCAAGAGAAGTTCTTTCATTTTGTTTATTGGGATAGGAATCTCTATTTTCTTTTCTATCAGTTGTTCACATATGTAATCTATAGTTTCAGTCAGAGGGATGTTAGTGAACAAAGATGTTATGTCTAGTGATAGCATGGTTTTTCCATTTATATTCATATTTTTAATTGTATCAACAAATTCAAAGACGTCTTTAACATTATGCTTAGCAAGTTCTTGGTGCAATGGTTCTAATAACTTAACTAACCATTTTGCTGTTGAATGGCATGGTGAATTTGCCATATCCAGTATCGGGCGTAGAGGAATATCAGGTTTATGGATCTTAGGTAGACCATATAGTCGAGGGGTATGTGTTCCAGAAGGCTTAAGCATATTATAGGTACGCTCAGAGATGTGTTGGTGTTGATTTAGGAATTTTAATGCTGCAGTTAGTTGACGTTCGGTCTTTTCATTGAGGTCTTTACATGACCCAAGCTTTTGGAATTTAGTTTGATCACTCAGTAGTGAATTCATCTTATCTATGTAGTCTGTCTTGTTTAGAATTACCGTGCCCGATCCTTTATCAGGTTTAGTGATAAGAATGTGTTCATTCAACTTGAGTTTCCGGATGGCCTCACGATATTGTTCATAAAAAACTAACAAAAGGGTGAAAACTAATCACACTAGTACAGTAGTCTCCAATTTATTTGGCGAAAAATACGCTGTTTAGTTTTGCTGAATTATTCTCAATGTTGCCTTACCTGCTGCCATATATTAAATCAGTCCAACTGTCGAACACTGGAACATTTAACTGGGTTATATCACTTGCGAAAAAACTTTTGGCAGTTTAACTAAAAATACACATAATTACTAGTGCTTTCTGACATCATTTAAGTCCAAAAACGAAAAGCGAAAGCCCTGGCAATGAATTAAATCTGATAACTTACAGCAGACGGCATAGTACCCATGGCTGGAGTTGGTAAACTTTCTCCAGGAATCCCCGTTGGAACAGAAGGTGCGTTAAAGTCTTCATTTAAATACGTTGTATCAGAACCTAGCTCATCACACAAACCCATCAATTCTTGTTCCAGATCATTTTCATTTATATCGGGTGTCGCGTAGGACTGACTGAGAATATTTTGTAATTCATCAGTTGAGACGAGTAGATCAGCTAAATCGTCTTGAAGGTCCTATCGAAAAACAATGAAAGGAAAGATGTAAGACCTAAGTGCACCAAATAATATAGAAACTTCGATTAACACGTAACACCTACCTAGTAAACGATACCGAAAATAATCGCCATAATTTACAAATAAACATCGAAACGAACTTTGAAAAGGTCACTACTTATACGAAACATGAAAATATCATCCAGCTATTTAATAATTTTACATAGTGCCTGACGTTTAATTTGGATATCGTCCATTCACCATTTAATTTACATACAGCCAGTACGTTTAATGTGGCATGCGAGGTATGTTTAAACAAAAGACAAAGAAATCTGAAGGAAACCCATAGTACTTCCGCATTAATGTGGATATTTTTGTACCTGGAAACGTGAGAGCGAAATTAATATACTTTCATAATACTAATTCTTATCACGAATATCGTTTGACTAGATGATTAAAAACTGATAAACTGAAAATAGGCCCTGATAATTTACTTTGATCAATCAAACTGAATTTGTCGTTACGTGATATGTGGTTCACAAACTTGAATACGAGTGTTTATCGGAAATTGGTGAACTGTACTATAATTTTCTGACGCCCTTGTATGAGGATAGCTATTTTCTGCTTCGGTCTGGGCACCCGGGCAGTATCTCAGCCCGCACACAAAAACATGATGAACTGTCTACTTCCGAAAAATATTCCTCTCGCTCCAAATAACAATCAAGTGACTCGCATTATTATTATTTACTACGTCATTATTCACCCTCTTTTATTTCCGCTCTGTTTATAATTATTTTTTCGACTTAAACAGCAGGTCGACTTTGGTGGAAATTCGACTGTATCTAAACGTTCTCGAGTCACTGTCCGGTTGAAAATTGTATGTTACCACTGAATATGAGTACTGAAGCAGTTTTTCAGAAACCACGTGCACCATTCAAACTGGCCGCCTTCAACGTTCGCACACTTATGCACGTTGGACAACAGATAGAGCTGGCTATGTCTTTGCAAAGACTTAATTTCGATGTTTGCTGTCTATCCGAGACCCGTATTCAAGATTCTGGTGAAGTACTACAAATTCGCTCTGCATCTGTCGCTTCGAAAAGCTTGTTTTACGTGCGCTTATCCGGGGACCCTGTGGCATCTTCGTCTGGTCTTGCTGGCGTTGGTGTCGCACTAAGCGCTAGAGCTGAGGCAGCACTAATCGATTGGATCCTCATTAACAGTCGGTTATGTGCTGTTAGATTAGAAAGTCCCATCAAAGTGAGCAGAAATCGGCGTGAGAAACGATGTCTTTTCGTCATCTCCGCTTATGCCCCGACAGATTGCAGTCCGGATGCAATCAAGGATGAATTTTACCACCAGTTATCTGTTCTTCTCCAGAAAGTGCATTCGACAGATATTGTAGTACTAGCCGGAGACTTGAATGCTCAGGTCGGGCGTCTAGGCACAGAAGAGGATTGTTTAGGTGGTCGATGGGGACTTGTTGGTCGCAGGACAGATAACGGGGACCGTCTACTGCAACTGCACAGACCACAACCTGTTCCTGGCTAGCACTAACTTTCGGCACAGTCATCGCCGATGTGCCACCTGGCGTCCTCACTCTGCATCTCAAGCCTGGACTCAGATTGATCACATCGCGATCAGCTACCGCTGGCGTGGTTGTGTACAAGACTGCCGCTCCTTTTGGAGTACCTATCTGGACTCTGACCATGCCTTGGTCTGCGCCAATCTTACCTTACTTTTCAGTGGACAACGAAGTGACCGCCACCAACGGATTGATGTTAGCAAGCTGGTTGCAACTTCTGTTGCAAGTAAGTATCGAACCGAGCTAGTTTCTAGGCTAGCTACCATTCCACCGAAAAGCATAGATGAGCATTGGTTGCAATTGCATGACCCCATCAAAATGGCGGGTACAGTCAGTTGTGGGTTCGCGAAACGTCCCGCTTATAAGCACTGGGTTTCTTCAGGTTCCTTACAATTCATTGAAGCCCGTCGGTCTACTCCGGGTGACCGTGAGTTTGACCACAAACGAAGGATGTTACGTAAGGAAATCGGGCAAAGCTTGCGTAAGGACCGAGAAGCCTGGTGGTCGAAGCGTGCTAATGAGCTGGAAGCAGCAGCTGCATCTGGTAATTACCGGAAGCTCTTCCAACTCATCCAAGCCACTGGCAGCAAGAAGTCTGGTGTGAGCGAAACAATCTACGAGGGTGACGGGATGCCAATCACTAACATCCATCGACGTCTTGGACGATGGGCAGAATTTTTCGAAGGGCAGTTCAACTGGCCTGCTGCTCCGGCAACATCGGTCAGACTGTCCTTTCCTCCATGGCCGGTGACGACTGATCCACCAAACGAGGAGGAAGTCCGCAAGGAACTCCAACTCTTCAAGCGCTACAAATCACCTGGCCCAGATGACTTACCTCCGGCTCTTTTTAAAGATGGTGGTGACTTTCTGACTAAGGAATTGACGACGTTGTTTACAAAGGTCTGGGAGCTCGAGAGTGTACCAACGTCATGGAATGAGTCGATAGTTGTCCCTATCTTTAAAAAGGGTTCACGTCGTTCCTGCAACAACTATCGGGCAATAAGTCTACTTCCGATTGCGTCCAAGCTATTGGCTTCCGTCATACTTGGTAGACTGTTCAAAACCCGAGCAAGATTGGCTCGCGAGGAGCAGGCTGGGTTTCGTTCTGGTCGAGGATGTATTGATCATATCTTCACCCTCCGCCAAATGTTAGAACACCGTCATACTTATCAAAGGTCAACAATCGTAGTGTTTCTTGACATCAGGTCTGCCTTCGATTCGTTGGATAGGACTGTTCTCTGGGATTGTCTATTGAAGAAGCGTGTCCCTGAGAAGTTTATTAACATCCTAAAAGCCCTATATACAAACACCTCAGGCAGAGTGAGGACATAGAACCACCTCTCTCCATTGTTCCATTCAAGCAGTGGGGTTAGGCAGGGTTGCCGAATCTCACCATTCCTCTTCAACTTTGCCATCGACGACATTCTGGAAACAGCTCAGATGGATGTAAGTAATGGTTGTGTGGATCTGTTGCCTGGAGAAAGAATTCTCGACCTTGAGTATGCGGATGATATTGTCTTATTGTGCGAGAATGTCCAAGGCATGCGATCCGCACTTAATCAGTTGGAAATCAGTGTCCGTAGGTATGGTATGTGCTTTGCACCTTCGAATTGCAAATTACTTCTACAAGACTGGCAGAATTCTAATCCTGTACTCACCCTGGATGGTGAGCAGATAGAAGTAGTCGAGAAGTTCGTGTATCTAGGTAGCTGCATAAGTGCTGGTGGTTGCGTGAGTGATGAGATCAATGCACGTATAGTGAAAGCCAGAGCGACTTATGCCAATCTGGACACCTTTGGTGCCTTCGTGGTGTTAGTCTGGCTGTAAAAGGTCGGATCTACAACGCGTCGGTGAGAGTGGTTTTGCTCTATGCTTGTGAAACCTGGCCTCCGAGTTGAGGACGTTAGACGACTCTCTGTGTTCGATCATCGCTGTCTCCGAAGAATTTCTGACATCCAGTGGCAACACCATGTCAGTAATGCAGAGGTTCGGCATCGTGTGTTAGGGCACAGAGATGATAATGCAATCGATGTCACCATCTTGAAGCACCGACTTCGGTGGCTTGGACATGTTCTACGAATGTCGTCCCAGAGAATTCCACGTCGTGCATTATTTGCCGACGCTGGGGTTGGTTGGAAAAAGCGGAGAGATGGTCAGTGTATGACATGGTGTCGTGGTATGAAAGTAAGCTGCAAAGGGCTGGCTTGTGTTGGCCCTTCATGACTCCCTGGCTGGGGTCCGAGAGATGGTGCAACACAGCCGTTGGAGACGTTATCAGATATGGCTCAGAATAGAAGCCAGTGGCGATCCTGCTGTAACCTTTTACTTTCTTCATAAAACGTGGTTGTATCTTACTTAACTGAAAGATTTCTTCTGATTGTACCTTTCCGTTCCCCCATTATTATTATTACTACACTACCTTGCACCAACCTCTTCGTTATTGTTCTCTTTTTTTGCACTCCTTACCTTTTTTTCTTCCTCTTCGAATTCTCATTGTTTTGTGTGGCGCATATATATTGGCGCTCTCTTGTACCAATATTTATGTGTTCAAATAAATAAATAAATAAATTATTTTCTAACTAGTCTCCTGGATGAAATTGCTCCTGACTAATCATAAGCCACTAAGTCATGTTGCATTTAATGAGATTTAGAAGTTTCAACTTGATGTTAGAATACATTAGTCAAGGTAGATCTATAGACCATACCACATACTATGCAAAAGCTAGAGGAGACATATTTACATTTAATTCTCTATAATATTTCTCACTATAATATCAGATATGAAAGACAACGAGGGATAGTAAAACAGACAAAACCTTGAGAAATATTAGGTCAAGAGAGGAAATTAGTCAACGGACTCAGTATTAAGTCTTGACATGTGTAATATTTTTAGTTGGTGTCAGACAACCATATTCACTTATTAAGAACTAAGTAATAAAGCTCAGAGACGGCTGATATTGTATGAATGCACTCATTTTCACAGCATCACTCTACATCTTTTGCTACCGACTGTTTCTCGTCTTCAGCCGTCACATCTCGGTACAGTCAGCAGTATGATTTCGCTCTCCGACCAAGGGTTTGCTGCTTTTAATCTTACCGTACTCCAACCGACCTGTCTGGCATGGTAGGACCTTGAGATACGATAATTCCGGCCAGTATAGCCCAATTGGTTTATCGCGTCAGGCAAACTCAACCACCACGTCAAGGTAGCAGCAATGGCCAGGGGCGTCTTGAAGACCTAGTATGGAATCTAAACCTGACATCTCTAAGACCAACAATAAGCAACTCCAAGAGTTGGTCGCATGTTTCAGTCTGCACTGTTTTTTCAGCCAAATGATGATGAAGCGAGGATCACACATACGAGTAATTTGTGACTTGACTCTTGAAAAATGTATCTCGGTTACCTGAATTGTTTGAATTGTATAACCCTTCTAATTGACTCTTTATGATTCTACAATAATCTTGCTGACTTTTCTTAGGTGTGATGTTAAGTTTGGCAATTAATACTCGTAATTCTTTAGGATAGATCCAATATTTCTATTTACCAGACTGAATCTAGTCTTATTCGAATGGTATATGTATATATATTTTAACAACTTTGATATTAGTCGAACATGCATCCAGAAGTATAAAGAATTTAGTTCATAGCTGAATTGAAAGCATATATCAATTAGTGTTGTGTTCTAAAGCTCTGACCGCACGTAACAATTCACAGTTATAACAAAACGTTAACGTCAGGTTCGAATGGAGAGACTACAATTTATGGACGAACCAATCAAGTATACGATAACAGGAAACGGATTTTGGCGCGAAATTCGCTCATCCATTTGGTTAAATAAAGTCATGACATCATAGCTGATGTTAGTTCGTGATTAAAACCTTAAATTTAATTTCAAACCTTAACCGTCAACTGTAAATCATCATTCGAACTCCTTATACTAATTTATAACCCTCATTTGGCCTTAGTTATTAGGTGAACACTCTCAAAGTCAGTTGTGTCGCTCAAAGGTCCATATATGGTGTTAGCTACATTTAGCTCGATGGACGGAAAAGGAGAGCTTCAACGAAGTATGACTAGCATGGTCTTACGTAAAACTGTTTGATACTAACGGCGTAAATTTACTTTTATAGACAAGCAAGTGCCTCTGGTACAAAATTAATGAATAAACCATTGACAAACAATTATGATCCTAAAGATATTGCTTCCCGCAAAGATTTCTATAGACTACAAAATTGCAAATGGTACCAGATACATCCACACTAGTGGACTTACTTCCACATTATTTAGGTTAATTTTTTTCATCTCCAGTTTTAATTCTTTGGCACCGACTTTCATGGCATCCACTGTAACTTTGGTATCACGCACAGTCTGGATAGCAAAATTAGTCTGTTCCATATTAAAACTTTGGTTGGAAAGTTGTTCCTTTTGATTTTCATACACCTTCTTTTGCTTTAAAATTCTTAAAGCCTTCATTTTGACGCTCTCTTTAGCAGGACCGTCTCTCATCTTTTGCATTTGTAGTTTATATTTTTTAAGTTCCTCATCCAGTTTATCGATTTTTTTATCAACAGATTCGGCCCGGCTATCTACCTAAAATACCTAAATATTCAAATTTTGACGCAATTACATTGGAAATCACATCAGTCAGATTTGGAGGGGGCTGTTTCGGCTTAGCTTGTCCGAAGATCCGGTTCATAACTTTAACGCGGCACAACTGAGTTGCGCGGGTAACCTTAACTATTCAGAAAAACTGCAGACACTTAAAAGTTCAAAAACCACTATCAGTTTTGCAATGACAAGACTCTTTGGTGGTCTGTGTTATTAATGACAATACTATTCTCTCAACTGATTTATCTTCTTTTCAAAAGAGTTCGCAGATGAGCTTTCAGTCACATATTTAGGTAGCGAGATACCGGTCTCATAAAAATGTTCATCATAATCACCTTTTACTAATAATGTTGTCTTACTGCTTCCCTATTATAATGAGGTGATGTTTTTCTTATCGGTCCTTTGGTTTATTTACGAATATGAGCACTTCGGGTATTATATAGATTTCGTAACAAGATTTACGTCATACATTCTTCCAGCCTAGAGTAAGGTCAAGGCACAATAAGAAGTAGCTCGTCCTCTTGCTGAACAGACATATAAGAGATGCCAACAACGATTAACATGGGATTTGGGATAATACGTCGCAGTTAAGGAGTCCGGTAAGACAAATTGGCATCAAGTAATTATTTTTTTAAATTTTTATGGTCAGTTGCGAAGTTCAATTTATTGCTATGTGTGGGCTGTTCTTGATCCTTAACCAAATTACTTATATGCACAATGTCGTCATTTAATGCAGTAGTGGCGAAGATTTTTAAAATATCACCGTTTCGTAAACAAACCTATCTGCACTGTCGGTTGTCGCAACACTCGTATTTAATGCTGTGGAGTTATACTGTTTATTTATCAACATTTTGGTCAGTATTCTGCAAACTTTGAGTAACTTTAAAAATGACAGAAACGTTCAGATGGTTAAGAAAAACAAACGGTTAACACAGTAAACTGAAAAAGACCAAATTAGTAATTAACCGGAGTTTACTGTGCTCAATGTATTCCTAATGAAGTGCCTGCTTGAGCATCTGGGCTACCTGTTCCTGCCATCTAGATATTTCAACAAGTTATCTATTTTTGTTTGTTTTAATATATCATTGTGTTTATTGATCGCATAACCTATTCTGCTGCGTTTCTGAAAAGTGTACAACCTTTCGTTGGGCACGGACTGTCGGGTAAGCCACGGATTTTCGCGCACACGTTACATATTGTCGTGTATTTTTTGTGCCGTTATTTATCAGCTATTAACAGGCTTTTTTTCACGACACATCAATTTCTGTATTGCTAGTGCTTGTAACATAGTTTTTATTCCAATTTATTGGCAATTTGACGTATTTCTTGCTCACCACGTAAGTAAATCTGAAGTTAGCTTAATATAGTTATTTGTAACAATACAAACTCAAGCAAGTAAAGTTCACCGTGTTTCTAGTCAAAAAATACACCACAGATTGAGTTTTCATAAAAATCAACCGTAAAATCTTTTACATATGGTTCACCTCCTTGATTGCGGTGACGGTGAACATGGATGTCGGTAGTTGTTTATAAAATGTAAGTAGAAGCAATCAAGCGTTAACCTAATTGTGAATATTATATAACTTGTTTGTATTTAGCCATAAAAAGTTATATTTATTAGAGGTACCATTGTTTTGTACTGAAGTGATATAATTATGTAACGTATCTGAGAAAAGAAATATGTGAGTAACAATTGACGTTTATAGTGTTGTCCAGCGGCTTTCTGAACGTCTGCAGTAATAGTGTATAACACCACATCAAGTAAGAACAAAATCTTCATGAATAAAACGATCGGTGTTTCTTGTGAGAATGGTGACACAACCATGTTTTTTAGTTAATACTGATTTGTGGCGTGTCTGTTATAGGGTTCACAAATGAGTTATTATATACTCTTCACTCCGTCTCGGTAATACAGTTGTTGTGTTACTTAGGAAGTTATGAATGAATGTCACTACTTGTTAATAAAAGACTTATAGGCACAGTCTGTTACTTGCTATTTGAATAACTTATTGAATATGATACTGAGAACAAAGTTTAATTGTTTGTCTCAAAACGGATTTGTTGTTTTTCAGAATAGTATGAAGCTTATGGAATTTAGGATTACGGAAGATCGTGTGGAAAACCGGTTTACAAGTTTACGATAACTGTTTTATATTGCCTACTGCTATGCTCATTCATCTAATGAATTATTTAAATATAAATATAACAACCATACGCAGTGTTTTATATTATAAATCGTGTAAGTTTGTATAATTATGGTCTAAATAAAGCCAAAACAAATATTGACGCAGAATCATGTGACTGCATTACATTTCGTGGTTTCTCATAAGTTGCATACAACTGAATATACATTATAATTTAAGATTGAGGGAAGAAATAGTATGAAAGATAATAGAAAGCAAAGAATTGGAATGACCTAGGTTATCAATAATAACTATACATATGTATATGCTTGAACAGGTCAAAGGTCATTTGGTGTTAGACTTAAGGGAACATAAAGGATGGGTGGTGTAATAGTCGAGTGAAGCTCAGAAGCATATAAGATAAATTGTGTGATAATTCTAGATGTAATGAATAAATCAGTGAATTAAGAACTAATAAGATAAGTGAAGACAATCTGAAGAGTTAACATAATTTAGCAAAGAAGTGTGAGTGGAAGGGTGGTCTAAGGATTACGTAATCCATCTTATCAAGGAACTAGCTGCATGAAATTGTCTAGTCCCATACTAATACTAACTTGATAATGGACGTAATCTGACAACGGAAAATATGTAAGGCGGTTGTTTAATCTGTAAGGTTTTACGTGGAAGTCGCATTATTGTTTTATTTGATTCGTTGATTCCTCACAATGAACAACGATATAACGCTAAGTTCTAACGACAGTTCGTAACTAATACAGTAGTACAAATTCTTAATTTTCACACACAATTATTCGTTAAAGCGATTGGTAAACCTCCCCATGAAAGTATGAAGAAGACGAAAATAAAAAATGAGAAAAAGTTTATTGATTTTTCATGACTACTAACGTGGAAAGATAAGTTTACAAGTTGTATAAATAGTGGTCTAAAATAAAGCCACAAAGAACTGTTAATCGTAAACCTGCTGTCTAGCTGTTTATAATTCTTTGGAGCCGTTGAAGTTGTATATATTCTTTACTCCGTCTCGGTAATGAAATTCCTGTGTTGTTTTGTAAATTGTGCGTATTGTCTAATTTCCATCTGCAGCAACACCTAAGAAGTTGATGAGCTATGCAGTTTATATTTTATAATTTAAATAGCTTACCTGTTAGATTTCGTCTTTTAATATATGCCAGCAGGATATGGCGGCACGGATATCGACACATATTAAACGTGCGACAATTGCATTCACAAATACTTACATCCACTTCGTAATGAAAGGCGCACAAAATAATGTTTGCATGCCCGTGCGTTATACGGACAGCCGCGCTTTCAGATCGTGCGCAATCCATCACAAATGTTTCTGTTTTGGTCGTGTTACCCATTATCTCCTTGAATTTATCCAAAATCCACGTAACATCGGCACGCTTTTCTTTTTGTGTCCATGCAAACATAACAGTTCGACCTCGACCCCAATTGTCTGTCACCACTAACTGGAATAATGAATATCTACATAGTAGAACAAAACGAAAATCATATTCACTTTTTATTATTAGTTTTATAAGTAGAATCAATACACACGACTTCGGGATATTGATTGTACAGCCGTATCTGATCATAACTGCTGAAGCATATCGCCGTAATACATCCATTTTCTGCATGCTCTCTAACTTCACCGTTTTGTCGCATCATCTGCAATACCTGCTTCCAAGTCCAACCTGAAATATATTTATATACACTTACCAGTGGAGAGTTCAGCTTTCATATTTTTCACATCAGCAGCGGTCACCTGCTTACCTGTTCTTTCCTTAATACTTTCGATAACTTCGTCCGTCGACTGACAGTGCAATATAACTGGTTTCAAGTTTTCTTTTTCTTCTGATGACAATCGTCTACCCAACGGATCACAAACCATCCACGAAATAGTACACGGATGGTTGTGAGACATGTTGTAAGATTTTATAACGTATTGTTGACCCTCCAATCTTACGCGAAACATCGATTGGCAATTTAAAAATTTAGACCTTAAATGTAACACATTAGTTAGAGTCCTCACGGTTTTTTATTCACATTCAGAAATTCTGATTTACGTTTACGACCAAACGTGCAACGAAACACTACGAACAAGTATTAATATCTCACATCCTTCAACAATCTACTTTCTGCGTGAACATAGTGTGTATGGGTCATCTGAGAAAACATAGATTTATCCTATCATACTTTATTGAAATCCTTTAGCGCATTATCTAATTCAATCCAGCTTCCGAATCTCTTGTCCAGCATAATACATTGGAACGCGTCGCTTACGTTCACTGAAATTTCACTTGAGCATGAAGCACTAGAGACAACATACAATAGTTATTAAAAAAGGTTATTCCTTGAAAAAAATTAACTGAAGGAAGAACAACAAATATTTAGGAATTACCCTTCAGTTGACATTTCGTCTTAACTCACAAAAGCTAGGCGCATCTATAACCTTTTACGTTATTTTATCTTTCTTACGTTGTTTTCTGGACCTTATCAACAAATTATATATAGCTGTTGACTTTCACTACAGCACTTAGGACCACAGATCAAGTTTCGAAGGAACAACAGAGCTAAAGTGTGCACTACAAAACAGAAAATACTCAGTTAATGCTCTTAGCAGTTATTTGGTGTTTATTATGCATCAAAATATGACTTTTATATGGAAACATTTAATACTCATAGGACCCAACACACACACGGCAATTGAAATACGGAATGCCCGCTTCCAGTCAGCGCGTTCAAGGTCGTTGAAACGAAACGGCGGACAGATTTGAAAGGGATTACCGTTTTTACCTTGCCCTTTCGTTGTCAAAGTTACAAAAAACTCAATAAGAGACAATGTGGTTGCTGGCAATATACAACGAAAAGAATGTACATTATTCAGATGCTCATTAAGTGAACTGCTAACGTCTAACTGGCGACCACTCAATATTTATCGCCAGGACCGACCAAGAAGAAAGAAACGGAAACTTGTTGAAATACTTTGCGCTGAGAATTCTATATCGTACCAAAAATATAATATTGAATAAAGCTGATAATAATAATAACAATAATAATAATAATCTGATCTAAACAGGAATCAATAGTATACAAAAATAATATACATAACGACTTGCTTAGAATGTCTTTATTTAACAAAACAGTGCAGTAAAAATGCATACTGATCAGCCAATAATGCTGTACTGTTCAGTTGTTCCGATAAAACATTAAAATCATACACGTAATAGGAGTGATATTGAACCGTAGCTGCCCTGAAAAAGTCTTATGATGGTGGACCTGACGGGATCCCTTCATCATTTGTGAAATATGGAAGTAGAGAATTTCCACTATTTTGTTTGAAACTTTCCAATCTATCTATGGAATATCGAACCTATCCATCTGTGTGGAAAACATCTCTTATCACCCGTAACTTCACAACGGGATCACGTACTGATATTGTTAACTATAGGCCAATTAATTTGACATGCGTGCTCTCAAGAACCATGGAAAAAATCATCCACAAACAGCTATTATCACTTTTACTTTCAGCTAGTCTGATTAGCCCATCCCAACACGGGTTTATGAATAAACACTAATGCTTTATATCGTACACGACATTTTCTGATCAAATTACCCAGAGAAGAGATGTTTGTCAGTCAGTGATAATTCTGTACTTCGATTTTAGTAAGGCTTTCGACAGTGTCTCACACAAACTTCTTCTTTTAAATCTCTCTTCATTTGGTACACAGGATCCCCATTTATCTTGGCTCAACTCTTTTTTAGAAGAACGTAGCCAAATCGTTCGCTTTGGATCTTGCTACTCTAAACCTGTGAATGGAACCAGTGGGGTTATACAAGGAAGTGTGGTTGGTCCATTACTCTTTCTCCTTTTTATCAATGATGTGTGTTCCCTCTTTTAGTATGGTAAGCCTTTCCTTTTTGCTGATGACCTGAAAGTAGTTTATTCATTCTCTTCTCCCACGAAAGAAAGCTATATTTCAGCGGTAATCCAAGAGGAAATAAACAAGTTGTACGAATGGACTATTTCGTGGAATATGCCACTTAATGTTGACAAAAGTGGATTTATTCACATTGGTCGCTGTCTTAACTTAAATCTGACTGTACAGACACATACACTCAAACCTCTCAACACTGTTCGTGACCTGGGTTTAAGATATAGCAATAGTCTGAACTTTTCTGAACACATTATATCTCAAGTATCCAAAGCTAGAAAGCTCATCGGATTGATAATGATAAACTTCAATAATATCGAATCGAGATTGTTACTATACAGAAAATGTATCTTACCCATTCTTGAATATGGTATTTTAGTTTACAATAATTGTAGACATAATGACCTGATTAGAATTGAAGGTGTTCAAAGAAAGTTCACCAAAGCTGTTCTGGGGTATTCCGATAACAAAGACTATCACCAAAGATGTCATCAACCCAACTTAGAACTTCTTTGGATCAGATGTATCAAATTAAACCTTGTCTTTATCTACCGGCTTATTAACGGTATTTCCTACTCTTCGGTATCCACCCCTTCATATCTTATGATATCATCCCACAATCTACGCAATAAGGAGAATATTCTAGCGTTTCCAAGAACCCACACAAACTTACGTCAGAATTTTATCCTTATTCGCTACTCAACCATGTGGAACAGACTGTCTGTGAACCTCCGTTGCAGTGAAACTACAACCCGGTTCAAAAGTCTCCTTGACGATTTTCTTTCCGAAAGTGGATTATGTCACCTATTAAATATCAATGTATTCAATAATGATTTATACGAACAAGGTCCATCATCCATTTAATTGCTTGAAAAGCAAAATAAAACCTTTAAATCTTTTCACGTCTATCTTGTTTTATTTCTCTTTATCTTAATATATGAAGTCTGCTTATGTACATGTTTATCATTATTACCGTTATTAATATCATTATTAGTTCCCTGACACATTAGATATTCCTTTTACATCTTCTTATCCTTCTTAACATATTTAATTCCTGACTGTCCTTTGAAATTAATTGTGGCTTTCATAGCATCAATCTTAATTATTATTTCACAAATATTTATCCTAATATCCGGTTTCACTCTGTATACTATTACATAAATCTAAATGTATTTATCCGAGTGCATTTAAGGATTTTTATTTTATTTTTCTAAATTGTTGGTTTCCTTCTGAGGTTGATATTCATTACGCAATTATTATTCTTATCATGGATTAAACTTTTCATTAGGTGTTCACTTCTTTTCTCTCCTCTCTTCCTCTAAATAAATATTCTTGAGATTACGAAGTTTGTAATTAAGACAATAACTTGTGTTACACTTAAATTAACTTCTCAGACCCGTTTTATCTTCACTATGCATATATGACTCATACATATTGATATTTCACTCAATTGAGACTTTCATCGCATCACTCCAAACTATGACTGCACAAACATTTATTCTGGCGCCATATCTTACTACAATAATAAGTTCTTTTTTCTTAATTATTTTTTGTTACCAATTTGACGTTATATACATAATCGTTTGTTCTTGTTTTATGTTCATAAACACGCAAATTAAACTGTTTGCGTATTTCATGTCTCCTTTATTTCTATTCCCTTATTCTCTCCATTTCCTTCTTTAAGCTCAATTCAATATTCTTCTCAATTACACAGACTCGATTTATTATTATTAATATTCTAGTACTCTTGCTCTAATTTTTTTTAAATGGCAAGTATAATGCTACCATTATTGAAAATTGTGTATTATAGCATTTTTGAAGAAACCCGAAATGGTTTCTTCACAGCACTTATGTACCCATAAGATGTTTGTGAATAATAATAATAATAACCTGTGAAATAACACAAGTCCCGGTAACTTTGTATGAAAGAATATATTTCGAATCAATAAACTAGCACAACATTTATGAGTCCAGCTGAAAATTGGAAACCAACAGTTATTTGTCAACCCTATAAAAATCTATGAAAATAAAGCAATACCATATACACATAATATACCGTTTCGATAAATTTATGATTGTAGACAATTTCATATTCCGACTCTCATTTGCTTACTTTGTTTCTAGAGCCTTGGCAAAAGGAGGCGTAAACGTAGATGACCGTATTTTTTAAGTCTTTTCCCAACATGGGACGACTTTAAAAATGTGGCACTATTTGCCGTATCATAACATAAGTGACTCTTGACATAGTTGATTTATGATGATTCTGTCCTACTGATCTTCGGCTGTTCAATCAAGTGAGCCGTAATATATAGTAATCTTAGCTTACACAATGATCACAGTATTTTCATTAAGTCCATTCTGACTTCATGTCAAAACTATTTTTCCGAGTTCCCAGAGATTATGTTAGCAACCACGTCTGTATATACAGCACCAAGTAGCTTGAAATGCATCCTCTAAAGATTTCGTCAACAGTCATATATCTGCCAACAAACAAAATCCCAACAGTTCTGGGCGTTAATAACAGCTGTAAAGTCGTATAAATGTTATGGCCAGGATGCAAATTAAATATTAAAATTTCACATGAATATGTGTTCCTAAAATTTACTTGTTACCTACCCTTTGTAAAGTGAGCGACTGTGATATGGATGTTATAAAGATGGTTTTTTTGAGGATTAAATAAATAACTTAATAAGTGGATACTTATCTAGTAATGAGAGAGGACGTACCAACGGGAATATGACAATATTGGTAACAATTCATTCTCGAATAGTAATAAGTTGCACGGGGTATGCCACGATGCATGCATGATCGAATTGATGCAAGTGTTCTAAGGTGGTCGAAAGGGATGATGAAGCCAGCCATATAAACAATGAACTTTCAAAGGTGTATATACAGTCAAAGACCTACATTTTAAATTCTTTGACAAATATTTTTACTGCATTTGGAAACTTATCACTCCACTAGACTTCCATGAGTGACACCGTAGCTCATCATCATGATAGACACTGAAGACGCAGTAGTTGAGGACAGTTTAATATGTCAGGCATAAAAATTGCTACCTAGAAAAACGTACAGCTTATTTAACCACATTTAAGCACAATAATACAGTAGTTTGCATTTTTACGGAGATTGTAGTGGTACTGGTTCCTTAACACATGATTTTTGAAACTAAACATACAATAAAGGAGAATAATATCCGCCATCGAAGATACAGTGTGGGTCAGAAAAAATGGAGGCAAAAAC